ATTAATCATACAACTTACCAAATTGTCATTGTACCTCATCTTTCCATGAAGACTCTTCACATTATATTTCTACGGATCAATAATATTGTTCCTCAGAAACATAATGGATAAGACAAAGATGTCCAATGAACAAACTACCTAATAATGAGGAAAAGTATGAAAATATATTTTTCATTTCATCGCATCCGTCGCATCCGTCATCCGCAGCCATCGCAGTCCGATGAACCACGGTTCAGCGACGACGATGCACCAACCATCATTACGGCGCGACCCACTTCTCCGTTACATCATTCCATGTCAATGTCAATCACACCAGTTCTCATGTAACTGTCATAACAAAGTATAACTTCTTGTAAGTAGTGAGACAGTGAATAAAAAAACGCTGCTTTTAGACGCCTTTGATTAGAGGTGTGGTTATTACCTGTTATTTCGTGAGTGGTTTTAAAGTAAAAGCTTTTGTCAGTAAAGTCAGTCGTAACCGAGTTTTGAAACTAAAAGTTTTTGTAACTTTGAAGTTAACTGAATGTCCCGATGTTTTACTATCATTACATTCGATTATTTTTTGTGACATTAGTCCACTAGTTTGTTATAATTATTATAACAAAGATTGAAACAGTAAGAAAAATATATTCGATCCGGCAGGATTCGAACCAGCACCTTGAGGCAATCCGTGCCAGATGCACTGCCAATTAAGCCACGGAACAAACCATCTTTACAAATTAATCTGTGTGTTTGTTGCAGATCTTTGCTTTTGGTTTTTTGACGACTTTTTCAAATTTATTTCTGCACTCAGAGAGGTACCTTTACATCTACCAGATAAAAGCTTTTGTTAGCAATGTCAGCCGTCAAACCGCATTAATGACGAATTTATAAAAAAGTATTCATTAAAAGTAAATATTCTTTGCGATATCTATAGGTACTCATAGGTTCGTAAAGCGTGAACTCGCTCCCGGCGGTATCGCGTATAGCTAACAGCTATCCTTGATATAATAAAACCAAGTGGGGTCACACGTCAAAAGCACTTTTATCACTTGAAAAGTCATGAAAATAATATGAACTACGTACATGAAAGAAATTACGAATATGTGATATTAAAAAGCCGTGGTAGCCTAATAGTGTGACCTACTGCCTCTCAAGCAGAGGCTGTGAGTAGGAATCCGGGCTCGCATCTCTGAGTTTTTTGGAAATTATGTGCGAATGATAATTTCAAATTTTTCCATGAGCTTTCTGGTGAAAGAAAACATCGTAATAAAACCTACACGTCGAAGAAAGTTTACATCACCCGGAAAGTGTGGTGGAGTACGGCCTAAATCCTCGCGCGATGTTAATGATGTATGTGCAAAAAGTTATCTAATAATTTCGTTGGTACACAATATTTCTTGGCCGTTACTAAAAAAATCCAGGGATTGTCCTAAAAGTTACATTACAATCACTGCGTTTTAGTACTTTTTACAGTCGACTTATTGACAACCAAACCTTTACGGTGGGAGTGTCCCACGACTAACGGTGGCGATTGTCGGCAACCAACGAACCATACCGCAGCGATGTCAAGTTTGCCATTTCTTTGTTTTTTCTACCATCATCTAACATGCAATTAAAACTGTTGCGTAGTACCACTTTGTGGCAATTCATTTACATACGTACGTACAGAGTAAATACCTGTATTTACTCTGTACTTTACTCTGTGTCTGTTGTATTAACAACAGTTAGGAGATTGACCACCTTGTTGATTGATAAAAGAATTCTTATTAATTGAAAAATAGATATTAAAAAATGATCATAAATATTATAAAATTACATCCGAAAGTTCAGTATTAGGCTTCGTCAATAGGTATTACAATAAAAAAAAGGCATTTACAATAGGTTTCGTAAAAAAATTGTAGCTTAAAAAACCTTGAATCGTGTCTGGTTCAAAAGTTCCCAACTAAGGAATCAATAGGACTACAGTGTTTAGTAATCTATTTGGTAGTAGTATATAGAGGTACATAGTATATATGTAATAGTAATCTAGTTCAATGTTTAATAATTTCATTTGAAGTATTTCTGCTTGTTACAGATGAACCCCAAAAAATTTTATTTATTTATTGACGGTTACTCTAATAATACTATATATTGATGGTTACTCTAATAATAGAAGAACGATAGTCACTGATATAGCTCAAAGGATTAGCAAGTGCCACTTTGGCAGTGGTCAGGGCACATACCTCGTAGAACTGACGGCCGTTGGTGCAGGAAGGTTCCTGAATGGAGGCCACGAACCGGAAGGCATTCAGTGGGACGGCCCCCTACTAGATGGACGCATGACCTGGTAAGGGCGGGAGGTAACCCGGTGGGTAACCGATGCATGCACGTCGCGTCCGTCTTGCAATTTTTGGGAGCCTAAGTTGAGCAGTGGACGTCTTCCGGCTGATGATGATGATGACTCTAATAATACATTGAAGCGTTACTTTGCAAAAATCCATATTAATAAAAATGGAAGTAAATTAATTTCCTATTCCTTGAACCCTGTAACGGTGTTTTGCACGACATAACCTCCACTGAGTTCGCGGAGAAGCAAATTAATTTACCTGCATTTTCAGTTACTCTAATTATTGTGAACCACGTGATTAATCAAAATTGTATTGATAAATCACATGGTTCTAATTATAATGATATGAGAATTATCAACTGCATTGTTAAAGTGAATGGACAATAGAATTACAAAGACGGTTGAAGAAATATTTGACGTATTTAGTAGACCAAATAGGTTATAACAAAAATAAGCGGAACAAACGTCCCTAAAAACCGATAATAATTTAAAAATAGCCAGGTGTATAGATAGAAATGGCCCATTAAATATAAAAGTAACGGAATATAATACGTCTCATTCTGTCTTACATAACTTAAATTATCGGTCATAAGCCACTCAGGTGAATGACCTATAGACTCAAAAGAGTCAGGTGTCAGATGTCCTACATTTTTGTGGGTTAACAACTTGTCAAAACACAACGGAACTGAGTGCTTGGAGAAATATCTCTACATGTAATGTAATGTTAAGATTCTGTTCATAAGCCAGTCAAAATATTATCATTTACTAAATATCTTTAAATCATTCCTTTTATGTTACTGGTGATTATGACATTTTTAACCAATTCCAAAAAAGGAAGACGTTCTCAATCCGACTATATTTTTTTTGTGTGTACGTTATGCGGTTATGCTCAGGCCATACAGAGGCGACCGCGGAAGCGTTTCGGGCGCGGGAATTTTTGTAATGTGCGCGCGGCGGCATATTATGAACTCGTACATACAAAAATTCCCGCGCCCGGAACGCTTCCGCGGCCACCTCTGTGTGGCCGGAGTATTACTACGACGTTTGTGAACCGATTTCAATTATTCTTTTTTTGTTGGAAAGGTGGTACCTCAGTTGTGATCCCATTCAAACTTGAAGAAAATATTCCACCTCTAAACGTGGCAAATTAGAGGATCAATACGATTTATTGGATTTTACCCATTTTCCGTAAAACGATTTAAATAAAATTTGGCAAATATATAGAAGTGAAATTTTTATTGAATTGATATTCAATTATTTTTTGTGAAATTACTCCACTAGTTTGTTATAATTATTAATACAAAGATCGAACACTAAGAAAAAATACTCAGAAAAAATTCCTTCGATCGTGGCTTAGTTGGTATAGCGTCTGGCACGGTATGCAAGAAGACGTCGGTTCGAATCCGACCGGATCGAAGGAATTTTTTCTGAGTGTTTTTTCTGAGTGTTCGATTTTTGTATTAATAATTATAACAAATATATAGAAGATTCTACAAATTTTTGAGGTCAGTTTTTTTATATAGTCCTAAACTAGAGTGACGGAAAATTGTTTTGTATATAAAGCACTATGGAAGTAAGTAAACGAATATAGCAATCATGACATAACAAATGTGAGGTTTATAAACTACGGGTATATAACAGTGCAGTAAAACATTGTGCGAGAAGAAGTCATATTTCTCCATTGTAGTCCCGAGTAAGATTTAAATTGTTACCCCTGGAGGTTCATTTTTAAAAGTCAAAATTCACACAAGTCGTGACTGAAGAAAAATGAACCCTCGCCATGGAACGTAAATCATTAAACACGCTTGGGAAATAAAAGAATAAATTGCTGAAACGAAGTGCAATTGAGATTTTTTTGCCTCGTGGGTTAGTTGAGAAAATGATTTTATATTTTAGAAAATATGAAGTATATGTAGGTAACACGAAACTTGACGTTGTGAGACGTGATATCAAATTCAATCGTCACTTAAAATGAGAAAGTCAAGGGAAAATGGTTTTAAAGTTTATAACCACAACGCTGATTAAAATCTGTTTAACAAGGTAATTTGTTTTAAAAGTGTTTACCATATATAACTACAATAACTATGAACATTCACGATTATTCATTAACGAATTTTCAACTATATTTTTGTAACAGAAAACAATGTTAACAGCTTTTATTTTCTTTGCCGACTTAAAATATAGTGACTACTAAAAATATTGCAAATTGTAAGCATTTAAAGTACATAATTATCTTTTTTATTTTTCGAATAATAAAAAATACATTACGTTAAACAATGAGAAAAATATACCCAAACGTGACAGACGAATTAAAGATACAAAAATTAAATGGTCCTCGGGTATTGTATCCTGATGAAGGCGTTACCAGCCGTTTTACCGTCGTATCGCCAAACATATTTTTTGGAAGCCTACAAAAAAAGACTCGTTAGGGGTTTCGCTTGCCGTCCATAGGGTTCTCTTATTTTGATTAACGTAAAGAGCCTTTCATCTGACAAAAATAGAATATGTCGCACTACCTGGTGTGTCCACTGTTTTAATATGTCACTACTTTGACCGTAGAGTCCCTTAACTTGATTGCAGAACATCTTCAAAAATGAAGTTATGAAAGTCTAAAGCCAAAATTAAAATTGAAAAATGTCCATACATAAATATACATTGTTCATAATTATTAAAATACATATTTTTAATATAGTTCTAGATGCAGAGAGGCTGGGAGGGCAAGATGCGGGCGGCACTCTGCTTGCTGCTACTCGCTGCCTGCGTCTGTGCTGACGACAGCGAAGACAGGTACTATTTCACTTTGTCAAGTTATGATATCATTCGTCCACTCCATTGCTGTGCATACTCAGACTATAGATCAAGATAAATATATTGTCCATTTTCCAAAGTGCTGAACGCCATTTAAAAGGCGTAAGTACAATTTTCAATAAATGCTAACGCGATTTAGCAAACATCCCATACACTATAGATTGAATACTAGCAAATATGGTTTTGGTTACATCATATTAACATAACTATTTATGACTTTTCAGGCATTCCAAGCTCCCATACGTCGCCGATGCTGTGGGAAACACTCTACCTCCACCATCAAATCTGCCAGCAACAGTTGGCAGCCCAGTAAACTTGCTCACGCCTGACCGCTATGAATTTTACACTTTTGACGAGTCTGGGGAACTAGTCAAGAGACTGATGACTTTGGAAGAAATACAAGCCATTGTTGCAGCAGGTGAAGAGACTGAAGGCTTAGTGACATTTGCCAATGACAACCAGCCTACTATAGCCTTCAACTTTAGTCAACCACCATATACAAAAGTACACAGTGTCGTCACCAACGTTCAAAATGTACTAAAAGCACAAATGGAAGCTCACAAAAACAAACCCCTTACACAACCTACACTTGATACACCTGATGTTTCGGATTCTTGGAGTCTGATTTTACCTTCTATTTTCGGGAACACAGGAGTCGACATAGTCCCAGATAAAACTTCAGGGGGCTTCACAACTCCTGAAACAGAGACTATTGAAATAGATAGACCAGTGAACGATAATTTGTTAAGCAAAGAAGGTAATACTCACATTACTAGTAGTTCTAGCACTGCTATAAATGAACTGAAGGAAATATCCATTACGGAAAAAATATCTACTACTGAAGAAGTCCGAACAAATCCTATTACGACCACTTCAACAACTAGTACGACTACTACTACTACAACTACACAAAAGCCAACAATTGTAACAACAACTGCACCGAAATCTACACAAAAACAGCCAATTACCACAATTACAGCCAAACCTTGGTCATCTACAAGTGCGACGAAACAAACTAGTACAACTAAACCAACAAGTAAGCTATCTACAACAGCAAGACCTCGCACTACAACTACGAATCAACCTCGCTCCACTACTACTATAAAACCACGTATTACTACATCTATCAAACCAACCACTAAAGCTAATATAAGAACAACGGCAAAACCTACAGCAATTACAAAGAAACAAGTATTGACCACGCAGAAAAATAATGAACAAAATTACACAAGAGTTCAAGTCCAAACACTTTCTAACACCATTCCTACAACAGAAAAAAGCTCCATTCATTATGAAAAAATAAGTACTTTCATTCCTATTTCCACAGCAACTTATATCACAGAAAGGACGACAGTAAAATCTGTTCCTGTGCAAACTACAAGAACAACGGTTGCATCTACAACTAAAAGAGCTGTTTCATCTACGACTAAATCTCCACCTTCTTCTGCATCTGTAAAGATTCCGCCAACTGTTTCTACTACACGTAAGCCCTTCGTTAGTACTGTCGGGTATGTTTCGTCAACACCGAAGACGGATAACTTTGAGAAATTAAATGTAACTACAATAACTACTCAATCCATATTTCCGCCAACAATAGTGTCATCGACTGAGCATATTTCTTTAGCGCACCTTGAAGACAAGTCTACTACAGAAAAAAACAACAATGAATCTGATCCACCAATATTTGACGTAGCTCAAAGTATAAGTCAAATAGCGTCAGATCTTGGTAACTATCGCCCAAATCCAACTACAAGTGATCTTCTAGATACCACACGGTTTACTGAGATGAACTTAGAAAGTAAAGAAAATATAGAGATCGATATACCCACAGATAGTGAAAAAGACACGGACATAAAAACTTCCAGTACCACTGAAAAAAACACTGATAATTTTGTAAAGATATCTACATTAGAACCACACCAAACTGATCAAAGAGTCACAGATGTAAAAGAAATACCGAAAACGGATAATATAATTTCTTCTTCGACAACAGAAAAGATGGTACTATCTACTAGCGAGTCAATAACCACCACAATAGATCCTGTTCTGTCAGAATCAATGGATGATTTATTGTCCCAAATAGTGAATGAAGCTCCACAGAATATCATGGAGACAGAGACAAGTACAGCAATAGTGTATAAAGAAACCTCTGAAACGACTAAAGAAAAACTGCAAATAACAACTAAAACCCCAGAGAATAAAACGGAGAAAAATGAAATTACTACTAAAGTTCCATTAAAACTAGTCGAAGAGTCAACAAAGATTTCAGAGCAGAAACCAGACCAAAAAAACGTTACAACCAATATCTTAGATAACAACATACCCGCAGTCGATACTAGAAAGAAAGAAGAGATCACTATAAACAAAGATCATGCGAGTCTTAAAGAAGAAGATAAAAGTGAACCTAATAAAAAAGAACAACAAAACTATAATAAAGTATCACTTGCACCCAGTAAAAATAATGAAAAGGTTAAGCCAACTACAACTATCTCGAATAACGAAAAAATAGTAGAGGAAACCAAAGGTAACGAAAGCGACATCAAAACAATTAAAAAAGACATACCGGAAAAGGAAACAAAGAAGCCAAATTACGTATCTAGCCAAGATAAAGATGCCAAAACAACCACCACTACACAGTCTCCAAAATTGGTATCGGCTACTGAGGAAACTTTAATTGCTTCAAAAAAACCTGATAACGTGTTATCACAGCCAGCTATTAATAAAGTAGGTTCAATTATTAACGAAAAAGAAAAAAATGTCGCAGAAGAACTAATACCAAAAATTGATGAATTCAAAAAGAAAATTCAAAAGGTGAATATTGATGATAAGGAACTTGCAAATGAACGAAATAATTCATGGAAACTAATCTCAACCGTTTCACCACCAAAAGCCAATGAAATTCCAAAAGATAGACTAAAAACTGACAGCCAAGATAACGCAAACGATAAAGACATTTTGTTAGAATTTTCGAAAGAGAATCAAGGTTTAGAGGTCACTACAAAAAATTTGGGAGAAGATATTGCTCAATTCACAGAGCTATGTAATGAGCTCGCTTTTAGATACTGGCACACAATGATTGAAACTATTGATAAGAAGAGAAGTTTTGTATTATCACCTTATTCTATAACGTCTATGTTGGCCATGATGTTCATGGGAGCCAGAGGAGCAACGTCAGGAGAAATGAACGAAATACTGAAGCTAGACGACATGGTTACTTTTAACCCACATTTCACTTTGAAAAATATTTCTGACTCGATAGAAACTACTTCAGAGTCTGGAATTATTGTGTCTGCTTTTATTAGAGAACTTTTTAGTGACAGAAGCAGAGGAAAAATTTTAACCTTTTATAAAGAGCGAGCTCAGCACTTTTACAATGGTCATGTTGAAGAAGTAAACTTTAAATTGATAAGTGACATTATACGCCGAAGGACAAACTTGTTGGTTAAAAGGTACACATGGGGTCGAATTGTCGAGTACATGAAATCTAATTCAATCATTATGCAGCCACCATTAGCAGCCTTTTCTGCAAATATTTTCCAGGTATGTACATATATATTTATTTCATCAAAGTAATTTGTTGTGGTTTATAATGTTGCATCGTGTACAACTTTTTTATTTTATTATCATTTCCAGACTGACTGCTCGGGATCGACGGTAGAAGGAAGGGATGGAGAAATGTACTTCGTGGTGTCGCCGAATGTGCGACAACGGCGATTGGTGCCTGTTCCTGCAGTGGTATACCGAACCGGTTTTCTAGCTGGTTACGACCCAGCTCTCGATGCTACTGCTGCGGCTCTAGGCAACTCAAATTCAATTATAAGTACACTCTTTGTTATGCCTGGTCAACAAGGAAATATAGTTCATGCTGACGACTTAGAAGCTTTGGAGAAAAGACTTTTAGATTCCAATCCAACTACACCAGCCTGGAATCGTCTACTGCGTACGTTACTTCCACGTATCGGTTTAGAGTTGCAAATTCCAAGATTTTCACACAAATCTATCTTCAATATTTCATCAACTTTGAAACAGATGGGTCTCAAAGACTTATTTGATGCGGATCATGCTGACTTGGGTGGATTGAATGGCCCCTCTAAAGATCTTCATTTGTCAGATATGATTCAGATGACGACGTTTGTAACTTGCGGTGAAGGTATCATTGGGGAGCAACATCACATTGAAGAATACCCAGAGAATCTGGAAGAAAGACAAAAAAGGCGAACTTCGCGATGGATTAACGACTGGGATGAGCCGAGGGATTATCAGCGAGCATTTCACGATCCACATGACGTCGGCGAAGCCATGCGATTGCCACTGCATCTGCGGCCAAGACAAGCTCGTCTACCGGCAAGGAATGCTCAACCTGCTAGATTAAAGTTTGATCGTCCTTTCCTTTACTTCGTTAGGCACAATCCTTCTGGCATGATATTATACGTTGGCCGATACAATCCCCGGCTCTTGCCTTGAAGGAATTAAGAAAAGACTGTTAGTTTAGTATAAATTTACAATCCTAAAAGGAAAGTGATAAGGAAATACTGGCGCGTGTGATACACAAGTGTTGTTAATCGATGAGCATTTACGTGACAGTATTATTTATAAGCGTATTGGTACGCAGTTTACCGACAGTACAATTAATATAATAGGGTCTGCGTGCCACCGTCTAAATTCATATCAAGTGTGTATCTATAGGAGTGTTATTGTTATGTGTTATAGATAATTTTTTTGCATTAAAAAAGCCCAAATATTATGTGATATCTTGAACATGACTGAAAAGTCTGTTCTTGGTACAATTAAAAACAAATCAATGTATAATTTTTGGGGTTTTTTATGAGCGTAGCGATCATTCCATAATACGTAAATTTTAATTAGAATAAAACTCGCTGATTAGAGTGAATGTTGTATTTTATTTAAAGCATAGTGACACCTGGAATTTACTTTACAATAACCCGATAGGGAAAAGTTTTCCCATTATATTATTATTCTGTCAAAACGTGAAAGCAGCGTCGACGACCAGCAGTCTAACAAATACTTGAACAGGTAGTCTTGAAATGTCTTGAAGTATGGCAATTGCATTAAATTATGATTTTCATATTAGCAATCTACGTTGACAGTTGCTCAGATTTGACTATTTCACTGACAGTAATACTTGCACATTTTTGGTATTAAATCTTTGACAGCGTACGCAGCACAAAGGTTTTCTCATTTGAAAAAATACTGAGAACATTTACCGTAAAATTTCTTCTGTTTGTCACACAAGTTAGTTTTTAACATATTTGGACAATGCTGAAACAATTCAAATTCAAATCTTTATTTGGGACAAAATATCCATATAGTGTTAGTAACAAAATACGTACAAACTATGTTAATATAAATCGTCTAAACATCGACGTGTACCCGTACCCATTGACATAATATAGTACGAAGAAGGCCATTGGCGCTGCCCCGCACTCTGCGCGTTAGTGACGCTGCCCGCTTCCCCAAAATGGCGCTAAAGCCTCGCGCCTCGGTAAACATTCCCGAAGCGCTACAGTAGCGCGGAAACCCCAACAGCATTCTGAGAGCGTCATAACTGGACGTACAGGGCGCGATGCGCTTTCTGTGTATACTTGACCCACAAGCCGTACATGTAAAAAGATTGGCAAAACGCCTAAAAAAGCGTGACAATGACAACGAAATGTAACGAATGAGTCGGAGCTCCATGTTTTTGGGATAGATATATGCAATATGTAGCATCAAACGATTAGTATGTTTATTAGTTAATGAGACCGCTATTGGGCCGTTAAATTAGACGTAAAGCTAAACTATTTAGTATTGTTTATAGATGTAATTTTTCTTACTATATTGACGTAAGCTCTGATGCAAGTTTGAAATGTGAAATATTCATCAGCTTTCAAAGGAAGATACATTTCAAACCTTTGCATGCATTTTGACCTGGCTTTATGAATGGCAGCGTAAAACGTTGGATTGAGTTCTATCCATTTATCAAGATGGGCATGGTACCGTTCCATGTTTAAAGATTTGTCGTCATTTAGCAAATGATATTTTTGTAATATACACGCCCACGAATTATCCTGAAAACAAAATATTTAAATCAACTTAAATAGGAAGGGTTTTTTTTTTCGAGTTTACTTGAAATAGAAATATAAGAATATATTTTAATGAAAAGTAGATGAAACACATTTTAGCAGCAGTACAGTTCTTTGTGAAAGAGTTCATCCAGGGAAATACTGACACCTTACTCATTTCTGCCGCCAAGCAGAAATGTTAGCATTACTGCATTCCCGTTTAGAAGGGTAAGGGTGCTGGTGAAATTACAGGCACATGGGACTTGTCAACTTATGCCTGTGGGTGACAGGCGTTGTGGCAGTGCCTCTCATATCATTGTGATTTAAGCTCTGAGTGGTACTGTAACTATTATGGACAGGCAGGTAGTTTACCATCAGGCGTACGATTTGTTTCGTCCTGTAACTTGATGTTATAAAAAAACACGTTTAGTCGAGTGACCCAAGATATGTCTACTTTATAAGAAGGTGGCCTGTGTGAATTAGAAAATAGAAATAGAAATCTTACAGACGAATATGTATGAGATGATTTGTTTTGATTTTGATATGATGGATGTTTTGATGATGACGTTTGATTTTCAATTGATGACTGATTTTGAGGTGATGTGAGATTTTTATGTGATATAAGATTTTGAGGCGATTGATGATTTTTAATAAATTTGTGTCTTCGTTTGCGGGAATGTAATTTATTCATCATTTTAGAAGACGTATCTTTCATTCTATAAATACTTCTATTTATGACGTTTCTTCCTGAATTCGTGCGATTTTTAATTCCACGTATAGCTTTTTCATATATAGACCTTAGTAACTTTGTGAGGGATTTGGCTTCTTCTTTTGGCATGCCTACCGTCATCGCCTCTCTCCTGAATGTCGTTATATTATGTTCAACACTTCTGTGTTGAAGTGAAAATAGTGCTCCACACTCTCTGGCTATCTCTCTCACGAAAAAAGGAGGGAAAAGACAGCATTTTGCATCCTGGAACATATAATATTTATTAGTGAATAAAATTTGTGGCAATATTAGCGAAATTGTCACCGATTTCAGGCGAATAGCCTATAAGCTCCTATGGCCTCGTGTGCCTCAAAATACACATAATATGTGAGGTGTCTCAGACTTAAACTACACTGTTCCTGTGATTACGTAAATGCCCAGTGTACTACATTATAATAAAAATATCGCATTGAAATTTAGCGCTGTATATTCTACATGAGCATCTTATCTAGAAAAATAAGTTTTTCGTACACACCTAAGTACGCCCATACTTGCTTGTGCCTGAAGCATGTTTTTTTATAAAAAATAAGTGCCGATCTCATCTGACGGAAAGTCAATGACCACCTAAGACCGACGATGGAGCACGCTCACCTAAATAGTTCCTATTCACTCTCGCCTTGAAAAGGCCCAAGTTCTACCGTTCAGGGAACAAGTCTGCATGTAGGGAATTACATTCCATAGCCGTTCGTCATTTAAGTATGGAAACGAAACGCCTCGTGCGAATTCTTGGAATATCCATCAACATCATAAGGGTGGAACCGCAGCCTGCGACTAGTCCCCCGGCGATGGAAAGGGGAATTCAAATCGTACAATTCACTCGCACACTCTTTGTGATATATCCTGTAGAATACCTACAAACAGGCAACTTTGAGGTGGTATTAAAGGCTCTATAGCTTCACCTCTACGAATTCCTATAAAGTTTAGTACATATTTAATGTACATTGGTCGTTTAAAGCTTTTCCAGGGTCTTAGAAGGTTAAATGTTCGACAGAAATTTTTCGTTTACTATCTTTATAATTGCATATTATATTTAGTTGTTCTGTAAAATATTACTCGAAATCGATCGTCATTGTTATCCCAAGGAAAACAAACAATATAAACAAGTTTGAACTACAGTTAAACAAACATCTTTGTGTTTCTTATAAATAACAGGTAGATATTTTTGAAATACGGTCTTTGTAATATATACTCGACATGTTATGACATATCGAGTATAATATTTTTACCATAACCATCATTGGGCTAGCAAGTTCATTATCACCTAATGAAATGTCCTGTAATACGTAGCAGTGAAGCTCCATGTGTAAGAGTTCGTCCAGGGAAGTACTGCCACCTTACCTATTTCTGTCACCAAGTAGTAATGTGAGCAAAGTTCCGGTTCTGAAGGATGCTAGTGAAATTACAGGTAAATGGGACTTGTCAACTTATGTCTGAAGGTGACGGATGTAGTGGCAAGGTCCCTCAGATCTTTGCGATTTAAAGCTCTGACCGGCACAGCAACTGCTATGGACAGGCGTGTCGCTTAAATCATGAAAAAAAAAATAATTAGAGCCGATTTGTGTATCCGAGGGGTGACTGTTAATATGTTTACCATAGTTTCTTTTTAGATCAGTGTTAAGGCACAGACGAGACCAGAATCTCGTAAATTTGCATTAACGAGAAAAAACATTACGAATAGTAACAATTTTGATTTAAATTTTAATTATTACCATTACTTCATCAGTTCCGTAGCAACTTTCGGGTCTGTTAGACTGTTGTAAAAAATCATCTTCCGGTACAAAAGCGTCAAATGTGTCCTAAAAATACAGAAGAATTTATGAAAATAATTTCACACTCCTTACGATAAAATGGCATAAGTGGAGTTACGTCAAAAACGGTTATTGCTCCATTATCGACTAATATTGTAGATATTTTCTCTGTATCTAATAGAGCACTAAACATGTTTGACGTAACTCCACTTATGCCATTCTTCCATATTGATTATTATCATTAAATCGACAAATTTTGAAGGTATAATAGTAGGTAATTACGAATCTAAATAATTACTCTCAACGTTTGAATTACAGAGATAAATAATCAGCTGTTCTTTTTGGCCCAAATTTCTAACTTTGTATTCGATCAATTTATTGGTTATTAGGGCTTTGAGAATAAAACATGTATTCGCTTCACGCCCTTTTCCCTTTGGGGTAAGCAGAACGCAGCCTCACACATGTTACGATCCTGACATACACTCATGAAAGGTTTCGTACAGTTATCGGTTAAGGGTACTTTTGACCTGGTTTCGAGAGTAATAATTACACATACACATTTATTTAAACATTAGTTTGCAAATAAATAAATAAATAAATAAATAAAAATAAATACAATACTGCGTCCTCGGTGGGCTAGTGATTAGCACTGTGGGCAACGGATTCAGCTCCTTGACCACACAGATGTTATAAAACGTTTAAAACTGAACAAAAAGAACACAAATGATAAAGGTGTCTTCGCCTTAATAAATAATAAGAAATTTGCCAATGGGGGAATTCTTAGTTTACTTTGTTTATTTATTAGTTTAAGGGAAATGCAAATTACTTATTAGTCTTGTATTTGACTAGATTGTAATGTATTTATAATATACTTTACTAGTGGTTACAAACAAATGAAAAACAAAAAAAAGATGAGAGGTTCGAACATCTTTTGAGAAGTGAACTTTAGGGCTAGAGCAAAGTGGCGCACAGAAAGGTAAAACACGTTAAATTTATCAGTGTACATTTTATGCTATTGCAATCGAAATAAGGTATAAATTGCAGTGCTCTTGAGATCGAACACGAAGTATCGCTGCGCATTTGTTTCTGTGTCTCAGAGCATTCAAATTTTTACCTTTAAAAATATTTTTGGTCATTTTTTTTAAAATAAAGGGATTTTCTAGATTGAGATCAGTACATTTGAATGGTTATCTTATTACATTATTACATAAACAGTTTCAAGACATTGGTTTTAATGGTAACACAAGAAGTAAAATCAAATGTAAGATACTTACATAATACACTAGCAACAAAATAACTGTTAAAATGTTCCTCTTTTTCATTCTCCTTGAGTTTGGTTGGTAAAAATGAAATTTATACGAGATTGAACACGACAAAACTTCAACACAGTCAACAGAGTAATGAATGGCAATAACCTTATCGAAGCATTTAATGAGAGCAATATGTACACAAACTTGATATTGTTTTCTAAATTTCTTCAATCATAACTCGTGGGATTTTAAACATTAGATAATCGAATTCCATTTCTGTGAAATTGTTGTATTTTGCCTAAGGATGGTATGAATGGTACTACGATTTTACTTTTAGAAAGGGGGCGACGGAGCGGGGGAGCTGTATGCGTTCCAGAGGTGAAACTTTGCGAGTAAGGGCGCGTTCCCATTTTGTCATGGCGACAGTCGTGCAGTTTAAAGTGTCATGGCATGTATGTTTAAATGAAGTCGTTCACATAGTACAATACGATGTTGTGACAATGGGAAGAGCTAGAACGACAGACGTCAGACGAAAAATTAAACGTCACTATAAAAATGTGACGATAGATAATCGCAGTTTCAAACGATTCTGTCGTGCAAACGACAAGGCGGCTGCCGTGAACCGGTAAATTGTCGTCATGATCTAGTGGAAACAGTTACACCCGACAGTCGTTCAACTATAAAATTAAACGTCCACGACACAGTCGCGACAGATAGTCGTGTTTATGGGAACAGGCTAGACGCGACACAATGTGAACGCGTCCTAACTGCCTTGCATTTTGACAAAAAAACACAAAAAAAGAATCGAATGCAAAAGCCATTATTTAAGTAAATAAATGAAGAATTTTATCGAGTTCTTAGGTTTTCGCGATTGTTACACATAGGAAATGAAACCATTTTTCCGGATTTAAATAGCGTATATTTGTTTTTTCAAACAAACCGACGTTTCGGGCCCTTTGCAGGTCCCAAGGTCCCGGTTGACTGACCGGAAAAATAACCCGGAAAAATAGTTTCATTTCCTATGAAGAATTTTAGCTAAAAACGAGGAAATGTGCGATAAATGAGTGTAAAAATAAGTCAGACAAACATGAAATAGACACTAACATCATATTCCACAAGGAAGTAATGCATTTCAACTTGTATTTTTATGTAAATATTCACTAAAACTGAAAATTAATTTCGTTGCAACAAGATCCGAAAATGTTGCAAAGTAACGGATATTTTTCTCCCCATTTTGCCATTCTGTTTCAAAATAATTATATTACGTAATTTTTTGAGAATAGGCAATATCGCGACGGTCCCAGAATTTCTACAAATGTACACCTCCGCGACAACATTGTAGGGAATTTTCGTTAGCTATTTTTACGGCATATAATTAGTATTTGCCTTCATAAGTTTCATGTGAAAATCATTATTCTTGTTCATCATACAGGACTGATTTTAAAAAATTGTCTTGATCAGACACAAAAGTTCGTAACTAAACTTATATCAGGAAATTAACACTGACTAAAAAAGCCATCGTCAGTTCTCCAAAGTCGTGTATAAAAAACTTTCAGGTTCAGGTTCTTTATTGTTATAATGTACTTTTCATGTGTTTCCACAGATAATATCACGCTATTTGTGTATCCAAATTTTTATGAACTAAAGTCAAATTCGATAGTCGCATTTATATTCGCTTTTAGGTTTTTGTTCATAAATGAATAAGAAGGTATTGAATTAAATAAAAATTTGGTGCTATTTATTAACTTAATGATTTTTGGTGATATTTATTAAGTTAAACAAGATACAATTTCCCTACTTTTGAGGGAAGTGATATTCCATTGCATCATTATTTGTATATTTGTGTGCGTGCCGACGAGTGTAAATACAAGTTGCTTACGCCAACACGAATTTGATTTTTGCCTCACTAGTGACAGTTCGTTTGATATGAAATTATCATTCTATGCGTTATTATTCTAAGCATTGTAGCTTATTTTCTCATTACTACTGGATAAAAACGTTGAGCTAGGGTAACATACATTAAAAACACCGTTATGCAACAAAGTTGATCTTTTAATTGCACAAACGTAATACGAACATTTCCAATTCAGAATGGTCAGTTCCTTGCATATACCAACATCATTTTTAGTATTGTTATAGTTCATGTTACTTAATAGTTTTTATGATGTCAGTGCAGCCGAAAAGCTAGTGGAGTGCTGCCATTCATCACGATAAGGTATTGATAACGGTACTCTTACATAAATCAGTCAGTTACAAATCTCAAAACACTTAAAGATCTTCCAGAACAGCACTTAGAAGTTTTAATGCGAAGATATAGATGGCGATCCTGCGCTGACTGTGATACAGAATAGATAGGTACTAAGCCTCGATGGCCAATGGCGGAACGGTACCCAAGGGATCCTTCGGTATCCCTTTAGGCAAGCGCACACTGACGGCAAATATACAGCGGTATCCTTAGGCATACCGTCGCGATACGTCTAGCCTCTATTTAGATCAGTCTTAAGGTTAAACTTAAAAGCCTGCTGAAGCATCCCTAAGATCACCGAGGCGTTCCGGCGCTAGCCGGCTCGCTATCCCTAAGCTTGCCGCAGCTTTGTTTTCATAGCTACGATCATTGTCATTAAAATTTCAACTATGATGTCATAACATTAAGGTAGTTAGTAGCAGTAGAACTCTTTGTGAAAGAGTTCGTCCAAGAAAGTACTGCAACCTTACCTATGTCTGCCGCCAAGCAATAATGTAATCATCTCTGTGTTCCGGTTTTGAAGGGTAAGGGTGCTAGTGAAATTACAGGCACACACAGAGACATTATTGAGACATTATTTCTCAGGGTCAAGGTCTTAGGGGTACTGACCACGGGGCACAAGGTCTTTGGGGTACTGACCCCTAAGACCTTTGTAATATAAAGCTCTGAGTGGCATTGCAACTGTTATGGATAGGCATATCGCTTATCACCAGTATTGCACTGGTTCGTCCCAACACTTGGTATTCTAATAAAAAAAATATTCGTCTCATAAAAGTCTGTCGTGCCGTCCTGTTAGTGGGCACTGAGCCTAAAATTCCTGCATCGGAAGGTCCAAATCAAAGTTAACATATAAATTATTTGCTCTAATTTAATAATAATTTTAAGTAATAGTTTAGTAATATAATATCTAATAATTTTAAGCCCACTGGGAGATGCGAGTATTGTATAATATTACAGTACTGGAATCGCCATCTATATCTTCGCATTGAAACTTCTAAGTGCTGATGAGATGACAGCTCTTTCGATGTTTCGTGAGTGTATCAGACTGATTTACTAATAACTTGATGGATGGCAGCACTTCATTCGACGATGTGACATGTCGACTATGTGATGTGACGAGGATGCACTGACCACATAAATATTACAAGTAATGTATAGTACAGAACATAAAAAATTGCGTTTTGGTACTACTGATTTTGTACTACTACTTATTCCAGTGCGACCATTGCCACTAATCAAATGATAAAAAGTGGCCATTTAGTCATGAAAAAACTCAAAAAAAAAATCAAAGTTACAAGGGTGTTTTATATTTTTTATGATATACTATGTATCGGAACCAACAAGTCGTGCGCCTGATGTCACTCAGAGTTTTAAATATCTGACAAGTCCCATGTGCCTGTAATTTCACCAACACCCTTGCACTTCAAATCCGGAACATAGTACTACTTGGTACTTGGTGTAATTTCACATTACCGCTTGGTGTGATGAAATCTGCAAGTTGGCAGTACTTCCATGGACGATCTTTTTCACAACGAGCTCTACTTTTTAATCGACTTCAAAAAAAGAAGGAGGTCTCAATTCGACTTTGTTTTTTTGTCATGTATGTTACGCTATAAATTTCTGAACCGATTTTGATGATTATTTTTTGTTGAAAAGAGGTTACCTCAAAAGTAGTCTCATTTAAATTTCAAGAAAGTATTCCACCACTCAGGGTGGCAAACTAGGGGATGAATGATTTTAGAGCTCGGTTTTCTTAGTACTCTATATTGAGATTATTGTGTAGATGTTTGTGTCCAGAAGCTACATTCCTATCCTTTTTGGAGGTTCCAATAATATAATATTTACGTCACGTATTACGTCTTTTGTGTTTTGATACAAATACGTTGCATATAGTTGAATTAATTTATTTGTAATACCAGCGTCATAGTGTAAACTATACAAGCGTAGCTATAAAATTTGTAAAAAAGTAAAATAATGAACAAGAATAAATATTTAACAGAGTTTTATTAACTTGTAGAATAATTAGGTTTTTACTGCATTTATTAGATAATATAAAAAATTCTCCATTCCTTCACGTTTCAATCTAGATCAGATTCTGTTAGGGAATTCACACACGTATTGGACGTTTATGCAAGGCGATGAATGCATTTTGGTTTCAAGAATCTTGATCTATAGCCAAGTAAAAAGGCGAGCACAGACCAATGTATTTTCTGTATTTCATACAAGTCTTGCTATTATTCCACTGCGGACAGTGCTGGAAAACAAAAACAATTAAAATATTAGTATTGACGTCAAATTTTACATTTACTAAGAGAGAGTTTATGGTGAACTAAAATAAGAAACGCCATAAGTCATATATCACATATAAAAAGGAAAACAAAAATATACTACTACAGGAATTAGAAAATGTACAAGCTACACACTACATAAAGAAGGGAACACCAAAGAATACGCTATTACACTTTTATAGAACCGTAACACGGCTAAATTAAAATAGTCGAATAAACTGACTAAAGGAGGTAATTAACAATTTAATGTAAAACAGCAATTTAGTCACAATACGGCTTCACAGTATTAATTGTCCAGCAAAAAGAAGGACTTTAATCTAACGGTGTGGATCCTCAGCACAGGAAACTTGGTACTTGTAAATGTATCCAGAAATACCATAGGGCTTTGGGTAGTCGAAATATAAATTTCGTACGTTGTAGACGCCACTTCCGATAGTTATACGGAAAATTGCGAGCGGATGTCAAGAACGAATTGATGAATATAGTGGTTCACACCGACTGAAGAAATTACACACAGCACACCGACATAAATAGTACATCAGGAGTTTTTTAACTTTTTTGTACACTTCTAATTGCAATATGTTCATTTTTTCCAAGAAAAAACCGCTCGTCAGGACTTCGTCTTGTCAAAAAAAAACCCCCAAAAACAAACCTTCTTTCAAAAAGAACTTAACATTTTTAAATTTCATTAAGTGCCCGATTAAACCACAAAAAGGTCAAAACCAAAAAGAAACTAAGAAAAAAGATGTTCATGCCGCGTATTATGCTCCAGTATCCATCAACTACGGTCAAGCGGCTTAAGCGAGGCCGAGAAGCGATGTTCTATAGTTGGGAGGTGAGGAACTGGCTGCTCCACCAAAAACGTCCTATATCAATCAAAAGATTCGCTTATCGTATGGCGGCCGATCGTTAATAAATTTTTCTATGTCCTTGTTGCAGATCTTTGTTTTGGTTTTCAACGACTTTTTTGACGTCATCCAGGTAATCTATCTGTGAGCCATCTGTGTGAAATCTATTCCTTCATTCAGGTAAATTGAGTTTTAGTTTTCCGTACAAAATAGGAATTTTAGTCACTATGTCCTTCTTCATTATTTAGTACACTAAACTAATTCATGAGTGCTCATTAGTGACAACACGAGAGAATGACATACCTATACGAAATCTCTTCACAGGGTATACGATACTGACACCTTTCAGCAATTGACAATTTTACCCATTTCATTTCTCTTTCGAAAATGGGTATCTACAATCTGGATTTTAAAATGAGGTCGATAATGTAGCGAGCTTATTATCTTGCACTTAAAAATATTTGGGAATATGAGCACATGCAAGTACAGCAGGCAGTGTGTTCAATTTCTTGGTTGTATGCAAAAAAAAGGGTGATGAAGGTGATAAGAACGGTTCTTGTGAAATACTTGGGAGTTGAATACAAATAATTTGTTCCCTAAACAATATAACTTGGGCCTTTTCAAGGCAAGAGTGAATAGGCATTATATAGGTGTGCATGCTCTATCATCGACCTCATCGGCACATCCCATTAGGTGAGTTTTTTTTTATAATATCAAGTGACGTCCGAACAAGTTGTGCGCCTGATGGTAAGCTACACATCTGTCCACAACGTTATAGTGCCATTCAGAGCTTTAAATCGCAAATATCTGAGGGACACTGCCACTATGCCCGTCACCCTGAGACATAAGTTGACAAGTTCCATGTGCCTGAAATTTCACCAGCAACCTTACCCTTCAAAACCGGAACACAGTAATGCTGACATTGCTAAGCTGTTACTGCCACTTTATCTATATAGGTAAGGTGGCAGTACTACCTTGGACGAACTCTTTCACAAGGAGCTCTACTGCTACTACTAAATGAGAAGAAGGTGAAATGCCCTCTTATTTTATACACGAAAAAAAAACAAGAATGTAGTGCGTACAGTACTCAGCTGGTAAAAGGGAGAGGACGGGACGGGTTTGCTGCTTTACGTATTATGGAAAGTAACTTACATAGGCCATCATCGAAAGTAAGCAACCAACGAGTTTGACAGTTGGACACCCCGCCACATATGCCATTTCCGTACCAACGCACCGCGCCTTAATTGTTGGCATAACGTTCTCAAACAGCGGATATTTAACGGCATATTTATCCAACAAAATGTTCACTTCACCTATGTCTATTATTGTTTTGTCTATCATTAAAGACGACCTTTTTAGGACACAGGTGTTTTTAGCGCACTGGAAATAAAAATGCAGTTGAATGTCGTTATGACCTCACTTGTTATAAGGAAGGCACAACACTCATTATGACCGTTCTGCATTCTTAAAGAGACACTTCTTTTCTTTACTAGAAACGAAATTCTAGCTTGAAGGAAGGAACACTTATTAAAAAAATCTTCTATTATTTGATATGCAGGTTTCATGTTTTCTTCACCGTAAGACAATTGATATAATTAAAAGTTGTAACATAAACTCTTGTACTTTATGAACATTTCTGTCACTCCAATCACTGCTAAGGTGCTTTTCCACTGGTGAGGCGAGATAAGGAGGATAAAAGAGACAATTATAACAAAAAAATATTTACTTAAAAATAACAATAAAAAATTTAAAGTTTTCGATGAAAATAAGACCAGCCAACAAAGGCCGCACGGATCTACATTTTTTTTTTATCTCTGTAACGGACACACCATGAATGCGTTAGCTCGCGCACGCCTGCGGGACCTCGCGATGGCTACTAACACCAATCGTGAGATTGTGAGGTATGTATGGCTTAAGATTAAAAAAAAAGGCTTTTCTGCAAATAATTGCAAAGTGCCCCACAATTGAATTTTATGGATGATGATGATGAAATAATTTACTTAATTGGTATTTCAATATTTTTAGTTTACTATCCACAACCTCAGCGCGATGGCTGTTAATATCAACCGCGAGCTTGCGATAGCTATTGATGACATTTTTTTTATAGAAATAGGCCTCGCCTCGTCGCTGCCGGTGGAAAAGCACCTTGCTCTTGTGGAATAACCATATCAGTCGTATTTCACTGCTCTGATGTTTGTGTATATTGCTTTATCCTATAATTATTTTATATGTTTGTTCCATTGTATACATTTGCACTGCACTACAAAGAATACTTTATAATGAAATTAAGAATTCGAAAACAACAAAAATTGGCCTCGAATTTCTGACATATATACCATAACATCATAATTTCCTGGTTTTCTCTGTGATAGATTTGACACTACGTCTGATAGACCGCAGTTTGCTAATTCTTCATCGGAGAATAATGGTGGAAATTTGCAGCACTCGTTGACATTATTCTGGAAATGAGTGATAGTTACATTAAAATACAATACTTCTATTTTCTCAATATCCCTCAGCAATCATCAGATTTCCGAATGCACACGAATATTAATTTCCATGCCCATTAATTATTAGATTTAAAATTTTAAATAATTTGAATTTTGAACAACATACTTTATTGTTGTTTTGTTTTGATTTCCATGTGAACTACATGGAGCATGTAAATTATTTCCTTATTTTTAATAACAATTTACACAATATCAATAAGCAAGTTAACAAAAATATAAAATAAATAAATTGTACTTCTTTCGTATAACTAAAATTTTCTTAATGTCTCCAGACAGCCTATAAATTGTATCGCATCAACCAACTTTACTTTTAAATATTTTTTTTTATAAAAAATAAGTGCGCATTTGACCTCCACCTCACCTGACGGAAAGTGATGATGAGGTCAACAATGTAGCATGCGCACCTAAATAATGCCTATTAACTCTCGCCTTGAAAAGATCCAAGTTATAGCGTTCGGGGAACAAGTCCGTAGGTAGGGAATTCCACTCTCTAACCACTCGCCATATAAATGTGGAAGCGATACACTTCGTGTGAATCCTGGGAATATGAACAACATAGGGGTCGAATCCCAGCCCACGTCTAGTCCCCCGGTGATGGAAAGGGGAAGGCGGAACCTTAATTATAAAAAACACGGAGAATGTGTGGTATATCCTGTAGAATACTGAGAAGCAGGCAACTTTACGGCGGTGTTCAAGGCTCTACAGCTTTGCCTCTACTAATTTCGAGTCACCTATAAGCCAATTGCCATGCTTGTCGATTGAATCTAAGGTGGCCAGTTGGTATTTAGAAGAGCAATCCCATAAGTGGCAGCAGTACTCCATACACGACTGGACTTGTGCTTGTTACAGCTGAAGCAACTGTCCCGTTGGAAAGGATACCTAGTTTCCTGGCTGAATTTTTGGCCATGGATTTAATGTATCTGCCTAAGTTCAGATTGGACGACGGGTCTATTCTAAGTAGCTGGAGACGGTCGGCTATCGGTATGGATTCATTACGAAAAGTCGGAATCAGGTGAAAAGGGACTCCATTTTGTGGAGATATAGACAGTCAAATTTATGCGTTTGGTAGCATTAAATTTGACAAGATTGGCATCGACCCAGTCGAAAACTGCCTTATGTGTCAAATTCAAACGACTAACCATGGACTCTCGACAAGACTGTATTTCTTCTCCATTGACCCTTGCAGTGGTCAAGTACCTGTCCATAACTGTGCTATCATCAGCATACCCAAAGGCTCCTGGAATTAACGTATCATTGACATGCAGCAGAAAGAGAGTTGCGGACAGTAGGAAACCCTGAGGAACTTTATCGCCCGATGTTCGGAAGAGTAACCTTCTAAGACCATTCGAATCGAACGTTCACTCTAGAAATCGAAATAAAGTTGCAAAGGTCAGTGGGAAGCCCGTAAGACGGAAGCTTGCTTAAAAGGCTTGCATGCCAGACCCTGTCAAAGGCTTTAGAAATGTCTAAAGACACTGCAAGGGTTTCGCCATGTCTTTCTATAGCCTCGCTCCATATCTGACAAGCATATACAAGAAGATCCCCAGTAGATCGCCCTCGTCGGAATCCGTACTGGCTATGACTGAGGAGGTCGTTGTCTTCAAGGTACGACAGGAGAAGATTATTAAGTACACGTTCCATAGTTTTGCATAGTAAGTGACTGAGATAGGTCGATAGTTGACAGGGTCAGCTCTGCTTACTTTTGCGCACTTTTTGAGCACAGGTTGCACGTTTGCAAGCTTCCACGACCTGGGAACTACACCAGTCTCAAGTGAGAGGCGATACAAGTTCTCAAACAAGGTAGTTCCTTGAAGCGTTAATGAAAATCATGTTACTGACACAATAGTCAAAATCGTCTAAATTTAAATGAAATGTGTGTATTGTTGTTTCATACCTTTTCAACTTTTTTAAAATTTATCTTTTTTATCAAATTTTTTTAAATATTCTTTACTCTTACGATTACTAAAACGTCACAAGCTACAGAAACACGTGACTTTAGCGGGTTTTCTCCCCTTGTGTAATAAATAAAAAATGTAATAGCAACTCTATATACTTCCAAGTCGACTGAAAGCGTCCGGTCTGTACCAAAGGCAAAGGGCAATTGAATAAAACCCGATGACAGCCGAAACACGAAGTTTGGCGAGGGACAATAGGACAAAGATGAACAAAGACTAGACTATGCTCATAGCACATGAGTAAGTTCATAGTAAGCTGAAAGTCGATTCCAAATTCGAATTCGAATGCCGAAACAGTTTTTGTTATATTTCTTTTTAACATTTCTGACATTTGCGACACAAATTTTATAATACAATATTTTTTGCATACACGAGATTATTTTATGCCTTTCTTCTTATTTCTTTTTTCCAAATTCAAAATTTGGAAAAATTAATTAACAAATTCAAAATTGTCGTGACCTGTATAATTGGTATTTGTTAGTTTCAAATTTCATACGCATCGGTTGAGGAATAACGAAGTAAATCCGTTCGTATGTGTGATTAAAATGAATGTCAAGAAAGCTTCGTTCACGTGTCGCTCACATTGTAATGTTTTGTTATATTACTTTTAGAAACATATCGTATAAAATATGTTTATTTTATTATATTCCTGTTTGTTATCGTATTAGTAAAGTAATTGTACTTGTAGATATTCGAGACTTACCGCTTTAGGAGGCAGTTTCAAACACGCCTTGAGAAAGACCACAGGTGCCACCAGATGGTTTTTGTATTGTATTGATGTCACCTAAAACAAAACATATACTTTGATTAAATTATCTAAATGATCGCTTTAATAATTATATTGCAGGGAAAATGTAATTATATTACGTAATGCGTGCGAACAAACTGCGTAGGATAAAATAAACGTATGTAGTTGATAGAGTATGTATATATTATAAAAAAAAAACTAGCACCAGCAGCATTGTAATGTTACCGAAAGAAAAACTCCGTAACTCAGTTGGGATAGCGTCTGGCACGGTATGCTGAAGGCGCTGGTTCGAATTCAGACGAATCGAAGGAATTTTTCTTAGTGTCGATCTTTGTATTAATAAGTATAACAAACTAGTAGAGTAATTTCACAAAAAATAATTGAATATGGTAGCAAAATGTTGTGGTTTCAATAAGATTAATATTAAAAGCATTTTTGTTAAAACAACTGGCCTTCTTGATTATTTTAAAAAGATATTCTAATACTTTAGACACTATCGCATCAAAACTCATGAACGTTTTGTTGCTAGCGCTTGAATAATCATAGAACGTATATTGGAGAAACGTAGAAACAGACATTCATTATTATAGATAGATAAGAAGGATGTATTTAAGAAACAAACATTAATTACTATATAATATCTCACCTGTGAAAATCTTGCTGAAACAGCAGTTCTACTGAGGTTTATTATAGTTTTAGAGACGTTTCGAGTGTCAGCGCATTGCCAATTGCAGAGCGTCGATACGACATCCGCGAGGCGGTGCCGTCACTACGTAGTAGTAGGTACCCCTAACTAATTTGTGGACTGTAAAGCCAGCACTAAGCGACTGCTCAATAGTGCCGAACGTCGAGTATACACTACGCTGGCGTCGCGTGGACGTTGCAAGACGCTGACGTTCGAAAGATGCTAGTGTGGGTGGTTCTCTTAATATGGTGTTATGCTCGTAGTATGAACAACGATGGTCTTGGTGGAGGTGGTGTTGTAGTAGATACACCTGATAGCACTCCTAACGTACTCTCCGAAGGAAGTCTATATGTAACTGTCATTTGTGGAATTAAATTTAAAATAAAATTTCAATAACTCCCGATACAGAACTGCGTACTTCAAAAGGTTACCCGTACACAGAGTGTCTCACGGCTACGCCACACGGAGGGAAGTACCTTAAATACCGTAGATAGAAAATTTTACTGGAAGAATACTTCATTTTAATTTTAAAAACAATGCGAACTGCATTCAAAGATTAAATAAAAAACTTCTGTCTGAACCGGGAATCGAACCTGCCAAATATGAAAATAAAATACACCTGTAAGTTTTACTATACTGATCAAAAGCCTCAATTATAAGGTTTGTTTTCTTCTAAATAACATAGCATCTTAAATAAAAGGAAGACCATGAAATTTAACATTTGTTATTTAAGGTAGGTATACTTCCCCTCCATGTGGCATGGCCGTGTGACGCCCTGTATACGGTAACATAAGGTATAAGCCAATCACTCGTCGACACCATTTAAATGAGCCCAAACACTATTGTTTTAAACCGACCTCAAAAATAAGGCGGAGGTTCTCAATCGGCATTTGTGAACCGATTTTGATAACTCTTTTTGTTAGAAAGAGCGTACCTCGGTAGTGGTCTCATTTAAATTTGAAGAAAATATTCGACCTCTAAGGGTGGCAAACTAGGGGATGAATCTTGTTTCGCGCATTATACGGTAACCGATTTCACTAAAAGTTGGCAAACAGATGTAATTCCACGATCTTTTGAGGTCGGTTTTGTTAGTACTCTGTACTGATATTATAATGCCGTAAGTACTTGTTGTAGTTGGATGTCTGCTGTGTCAGATGCCTATTTAAATTACCACTATTGTTACACATCCGCAAACCATTGCGCTACCTTTTTACGGTAGCTGGGTTGTAATGGTCCCCAAACAAAAGGTCATTATAATTTAAAATTGTGCTTATTTGTATAATAAGGAAAAGAGTATTTGAGTATTTTGAGTAGTATTATATGTATTTAATCAGCTTTTTGTCATAAAACTAACAAATTCATAATCTTACCTCAAACAACTCTGATTTCATTAACCATTTCATGGGCAGTACTTAAAAAAACCGCACACAAAAATTTCAGTACTTTTCTTGCCTTAAGGCTTCTATTGATTCAATATTTATTTATTTATTTACCGTGACTTAGAATGAATATTTCTAATGCCAAGTGACCTTATGGTAAGAGACGCGCTTATCTATAACAGTTACAGTGCCACTCAGAGCTTTAAATCGCAAAGATCTTAGAGGCACCGCCGCTGCCCTCATCACCCTGAGACATAAGTTAATAAATCCCATGTGCCTGTGATTTCACCAGTACCTTTACCATTCCAAACCGGAGCACAGTAAAGTTCACATTACTGCTTGGCAGCAACTACAGCACTTTAAAATCGCGCTGTTAAACCCATAGTTGTTTTTAGAAATCCTTATAAAAAACAAGATACCCCGAATTATCATATTCTGATATTAAATTTTACGGTAAATGATTTCACTAGCCATGAACGGTTTAAGAAACGACTCTAATAAAAAGTCTTATTAAAGATCGTTAGGTGGCTTAACACTTTCCCACTTTTACTGTTCACAGTAGTAAATAGCAGGCATAATGGGGTTCATTTAGGACCATAAATGAACCACTCTTTTAATTCATTACCATTGATCTGAATACAAATGAGTACCATAACTGTCTACTTATAGATACACGGAGAGGTTAAAACCACGAAATATTAATTAATTAGTTTTTCGAATTCCCGATTTCCGGAAATTTCTCAGCTAGCTAGGCTTTGTATATTTTCACAATGTAGAAGAGCTGTTTAATGCTTGTTTTTAAACTATTACAGTTTTTGTGAATATTTTTTTTAGTATGGGTGAATATAAAAGTATCTACAGTACCCACATTACTAAAACAAATTTTCACTTGTGACTCTAAAAAATGTTTAACTTGGTGAAAGTAACTATGAATTTTTATATAGTGTCACTAGAATTACTTTCGAGTCCAATGTCAGCTTCTTTGGTATGTAGTTTATCTTACGATGCAATACAGCTTCTTCAATAAATCCGGAATTCGAAAAAAGTTATTAATTAAAATTTGGTGGTTTCAACATTCTATGACACTACTTGTATCTATTTGTATACGTTTAATCGTTTATCTACACATTTGGAATGTCCTTATCCAACCACTGAACATCTACAACCTAAACGTCGCAATATGCCCGCCATTTTCTTTAAGCTCTACTTGAAGAAAAATGGCGGACATATTTTAACGAAATCTTTCATATAATCGCACCGAGGATCCATAAGCCATCCTGGACATTCCTGCAAACAAATACCGTGTTTATTAAAAAAAAACCATTAACTATGATTCAAAAAGGACCTTACGAACAATTTTATTCCTCAAGATACTTACAAAGATCATTGTTCTAGCGATGCAAGCAAAAATTTTTTCCGTTGGGCAAGTTTCCATGCCAGGCAATTTCTTTCCGACACATCTTCGTTTTGCATTAGTGACAGCAGGTAAGAACTTTGGATGTTTATTACTATATTTATTTAGAAAATCAATAACGGCTTCTGGGTAAATTTCAGCGTCTGCTAAAAGATTATACTTCTTTGCTAAACATTGATATTTTGGACACTGCAAAAAGTGTGTGGTCAGTGACGTGCCCATATGAACAATTTGTTCAATAAATAAATACAGTTAAAACTTACAATTCTAGATGGCTTTACTTTTTTCTCTACCAACATTTCCGTCTGTTCCGGGAAGCCACAATTGTACATATCCGCTAAAGTAAACATGGGCGGCACTTCGCAGCAGTCTGGAGGAGGGTCCTAGAAACAACAGCCTTTTGAAATACGCTCTAAAACCGAGTATGTAATAATATTATAACCCTTTTCACATACATTTCGTGCATAAGTGTAACCAGGTTACGCCAATAAAGTAAGTTTAAAAAAAAACCACTCCCAGGGCAAACAGCTGAGTTTTAATTTTCTGCTACACGTATTAGATCCCTGTTAGCTACAAAACAAGATAGTTGAGAAGACTAGCGGAATCCACAAGCGTTGCGTCGGCGTTGCGCTAACCTAAGATTTTAACGCACCAATTGCCACACGAGAAAGCAGTGTCGCTTTTTTTATGAAGCATATTTTGCAGTTGGCCGCTGATGGCCTTGATTGCGCCAACGGATTAAAGGGCGAGCTGAAGCCTCATAACCCGTAAAATAAACTGAGCAGCGGGCCTGAGGGCGCATTGTTGCAAGTGGGCATTGACCTCGGCACAGGGCGCTACTGAAGACTTCCGCCAGAAGGGCGTGCTGCGGGAGAGACTCTACCACTGTCGCAACGTAACGCCGCTTAATTATGCACCACAGTACCCCTCCCCGCTTCGTCTCCTGGGCCCTTGTGGCACGTGTCGCTCTGATTATGAATATACAGCGTCACCGTACAGGTGTCGCAATGCTGACGGAACGCATCGTGTAGCATCGGTCTTTCTACTGTCACACGGAACCAGTCCATTCCTTTCTTTTTGCGGTATATTATGTGAATAGAGGTTTCCCATCCCGATTTTACATTTTTATATCGTATTTTATAAATTATATACTATTGCAATCATTGACTTACAAATAAATGGACGACGGGTCTAATACAAAAACCACGAAAAAAATGTCCCAAGTCAACCTATTCGAAATTTAAATTGTAATGTCATCGCAGTATCGCGCTGTCGGTAGAACAATTGAAGACTAAAGCGGAGTGTCGCGCTCTGTATACGATTTTAGCGCCTTACAAGTGCGGACACTTTTTAGCGCGGACCCGACGTCCATATAATTGTAAGTCAATGATTGCAATCAATAATTCTGACCATATTTCAAACGGCATAGTAATCGTAACAGTAAACAACTTCAGCAAACAATTACAATACAACATGTGCTCTCAATCAGACTACTGTACCTATGAGTAACATATATTTTTTTGACTAGTTTGAAATATTTTTTCTCTAAATAGCATTCTATTGTAACGTCTGATCATATTTCCATTGATAATCGTCTTACCAACGGAAATATGATCAGACCTTTTTTGTTATAGCTTGTATACTCGTACTCACCGCGAATGGAGGAGTTTCTATGCATATTTTCGGTATATGCGCTGGTGGTAGCGAAAATATCATCTGAAATTTTCATCAGATTTTTAAGAGAGAAGATTTATAAGAGAAAATATCATCGGATTTTTTAATTATATCGACTCCCTTAATTAGTCTCTAAGACAAGTAATTTAAAATTATTACCTTAAAGCCAGTATTTTAAGGCAGAATTCCCAACAACGCGTAAATGGTGTCAGGGATGCCGCGGCAGAGCTTCAGCAACATGTACTACGGAAATGGAGCGTAGGTACCTAACAATACTGACGTAGTGTTAGCAATATAAACTTCCATTATAATTGCGCATAAATGGCATGAAATTCGGAACGGGCTTAAAAAAACATAGAACTATGCAATGATTGAGTAGCAATAGAGCTCCTTGTGAAAGAGTTGGTCTACGGAAGTACTTACCACTTACCTTACCAATTTGTACAGCCAAGCAATAACGTGAGCGAGTATTTTTATGTTCCGGTTTTGAAGGGTGAAATAGTGTGAGCAGTCTCCTGCTTGCGCGGCGGTCTGCCATGCAGGTAGTGAATGGGCCGTTTAAGGGTGGTGGTGAAATTACAAGCATGTGGGACTTGTTAACTTATGTCTCAAGGTGCAGTGGCAATGCCCCTCAGGTCTTTGCGATTTAAATATCTGAGTGGGCACTGCAACTGCTATAGACAGGTGTGCAGATGGTCCCTTCACTTGGTATCAGAAAAAAATGGTACAGGGGGTGGAGTTAATCTGACGAATTTCAAGTGACACCGAAGGCGGCGTACCGTGCCGTCGTCACGTTCGACAATAGGAAAAACTGCCCTCTGGGACTTGGAGACTGACTTAAGGAATCATGGGGAGTTAAGAAAGTTTCGTGCTGATAAGAGATTCGGTTCATATAATGTTTCATACGGCTATGGGAAAGAGGACAATTTAGCGTAGCATATAAACGCTGCCGCTCTGCCGTGGCAATATCACGGCGTTGCTCTAAAGTCCATCAATAACGTTTTATTATTTATTTACGTACAAAAATATCACAGATCATTCGATTACAATAGAGCACTGCACATGTGCAATATAGCTCGTATGCACGGTGTCACACAATGCGACATATTTATAACTTAAACTTACGTCACGGTTAGATATAACGAATACTTAAAAAGAGCAGTTTACTACTAACTACTAATATTTGAAATATTAGCAAATCCGTATGATAATTAAAGAGGTAACTTGACCATTGTTTGGAGATCAATAAACCAACCCATTTAACCCTTTAGTTTTTAATAAATATTAAATTGTAATTAAGTATTGGTTTTTACCTTACATTATTAAATTTCTTTAAATAAAATTATTCTTACCTCCAGTAACGTTGCTAATAAAACTATGACAATGAAGTTGTGCATTGTAACTTCGAAGTGAGGACGACGTCTACATGGTCGACGCTTTATAAATACCAGTCTGCTTGAGATGTAAGCAAAATTACATACAATAGAATAGTTCAAATGAAGTTTTCACAGAACAGCCACTTGATTGAAATGAATGGTTGGACTTACTTTTGGTGGTCAATTAATGTCGCTCATCAGATAAAAAATACCTGGTAGGTATTTAATTCCAGCGTTTTTCAAAAGAGCAGGGACACGCAAAATTAAATAGTGTTAACGTAGCTCGTAAATCAAAATTATAGACTACTATAATTTGAATTTAATAATGGCGTCGTAACAGAGTGCTACTATAGTGTTATTTACGAATGTTCAGTTTTTTTTTAATAAGTAAATAAGTGCGTATTTGACTTCCACGTGACTTGAAGGAAAGCGACAATGAGATCGACGATGTGGTATACACACTTAAATAGTACCTATTCACCCTTATCTTAAAGAGGCCCAAGTCATAGCGTTCAGGGAACAAGTCTGCAGGCTGTCATCATATAAATGTGGAATGCGAATGTGAATCTTTGGTATATCCACAACATAGGCGTGGAACCTCAATCCACGTCTAGTCCCACGATGATGGAATGGGGAAGGCGAAATTAAATCATGCAATTCCATTGCAAACTCTCGTGACAATTACGTTCAATTCGAAATTATACACGGGGCAAACCCTATTAATTAATTATTGAGTTGATTTCAGTCACTACCATGATAACACTTATTAAAATATGTCATAATTCTGTCGATATATTTTAACATCTACTCTCGGTTTCACTAATCGTATCCCGTCACTGGTTCTTGAAGTTTGACATGTGTCATTCTTATGGAACATAACATATTATTTACGAGTATCTTAGTTGTGCACATAATCGCGGTCATACAAAATGTTTGATAAATGAAATTGTTTAGTTCACAAGCAATTATTACTTTTTCTCAGATAAACACACGTCGGAATTTATCTGTAAAGACTGTACTCATTGACATGTGGACGTTATCTCCTTTCATAGTAGATTCAAAGACTATCTGATTCAACATTACTTTTAGTTACTATGTTTATGTGATCAATATTTGTAAATATTATGTATGAAAATTATATCGTTTTTGTCTAAAAAATATCACGTAACCTATTGAGATGCGCTAGGCATATTTTACATTTTCTACAGTCTGAATAATACATAATCCATGGCGGTTAAAGAAGTAAACAAATCATGAGCGTAAATATTTCTTTTGGTTTGCTTTTTTGTATTGTAAACTATTCTAAAAGAATATGAGTAACATTGATTGTCAAGAATTGTGTTTATATTACATAAGTGAAGCTTCTTAAGCACTTATAGGTACTTAATAATAGTCAAACGCACGTTGGACTTTGCATTTGAAACTTAAGAATATATTGTCGTAAGTGACCTATACTTGAATTTAGAACTTGAATGTGAAGGAGCGCGCAATAAAATTAGTATTTTTGACGAAAACGTGAAATTTAAAAGTAGGACGACATTTTCTTGCGACAAAGGTACGCAAAGGCGGTAACTCGATAGGGTGGTTTTTAGCCTATATTTCTCACAGAAAGTTTGCTTTAGAACAGCGTGGTTGCCGAGTCTCAGCAGACCCAGGAGAATGCTCAGGTTCATGGAGGAGTTCGAGTGGCACGAGAAGGACCCTGCACCCACCACAATCAAAATAGGTGCGTAGAAGTCGAGTTGCGGACACCAAACCATATCATACCATAGCACAGCAAGATGGTAGATACAATAAAAATATTATGATATGTTTTGCTTATTGTGTTTATATGGTGTAACTGTATTAAAATACAACACTCGTATAGTATAGTTTTCCTAACCGTTTTCGGCTACGGGAACTGCTTCAATTCCGCTGTTGGTGGCGCTAGTGCGCTCTTACGTGGCTACGTAGCCAAATTTAATTTAATAAAGACCGCGCACAGGGTGCACGTGGGCACATCATGAATGTAGTGATGATCGTCGGATACGTTTGACGTCTAACTCAATTCGTCAACGGGTTTCATATTGTGATGTTTTGTTTGTTACAAAAGACTCCCACTTTGTTGGGTCAATGTAGCACTTTTTCATATCACTCGTAACCAGTTGATAGATTAGCCATATTATGTGTTTTTAACCTTTGTTCAGGATTTTAGTAATTATGTTCCGATAATGTCCGACAGAAAACTTAGGCGGAGGCTACGAAACAACACTATGCCCAAGTGAATTTAGTTCTTTTCATTAACATGTTGTAAATAGAAATGAGAATAGCTCATTTTTTTTAAGTACGCGTATCATGTGATTTTCTATACGCAAAATCTTTTTCATTTAATTTTTTTTTTATACCAAGTGGCGGGACAAGTTGTGTGTCTTGTGTTAAACGCACGCCTGTCCATGACAGTTGCATTGCCACTCAGAGCTTTAAACAGCAAATATCAGAGGGGTACTATTGACAAATCCATGTGCCTGTAATTTCATGACCCCCGTTACCATTCAAAACCGGAACACAGTAATTTTGACGGCCTCCGTGTTCGAGTGGTTGGACATCGGTTTTCATGGTGACGCCATCTCTGAGGTCCCTGGTTCGATCCCCTACGTAACTTTCTTTAGTATCTTTGGTCTGGGTGTTTGTGGTACCATCGTTGTTTCCGATTTCCATAACACAAGTGCTTTAGCTACTTACTTTGGGATCAGAGTAATGTACGTAATATTTTCTAATATTTATTTATTTATTTATTTATTTATTTAGTAATGCTCACATTACCGCTTGGTGGCAGAAATAGGTAAGGTGGCAGTACTTCTTTGGACGAACTCTTTCACAAGGAATTATACTACTTCTGAAACTTTATTTAAAACCGTGACATTTTTCTATGTTTCTAATATAGAGTCAGTCATAGAATTTGCAAGCAAGGCTGTGATATTATGAAATAGTAATTACCAACACTGATGGAATGGTAAATTGTTATTTGTTATATGAATGAATTACTTAATTTCCAAAGACCCAGCAAAGTACAATGGGAAATGCGCTTAACACCTAATGTACATTAAATGTACTTAATATAATTACGTGCTTGCATCCCCTAGTTTTCTATTTTTTATTTAATTTAACTGAGACCAATATTAGGTACCCTCTTTCCAACAAAAACGAATCATCAAAATCAGTTCGCTAGTCGGAGATTGCGTAATATGCATACATTTCGAAGTCGGTTAAAAATATTAACACCAATTCACTTTACCCCAACTCACAACAACAACCGTTCGTTGGTCACATTTTGAATCGCCATCTTTTTTTCTTATCGCCAAGCGATTTGAGTTGTCCTCTAAACTAAACTACGTGGGTAATCGAAATTGTTAACAAAATTGACTTATTAGCATATTATTATCTGGAATTGGCGAAACGAGATCTAAAACCCCCAAGCTTCTTATCTCATCTTATTTAGTTTCAGTTGTGTTGTTGAGTACTTGGTACTTGGTACTTGGTGCAACGGGCTGGTATCCGCAACTCGACGACAAAGCGCCTATTTTGCGTGTGGTGGGTGCAGGGTCCTACTCGTGCCACCCAAGCTCCTCCAGGAATCTCAGCAGCCTCCTTGGTTTGCTGAAGACTTCGGGGAGCGACCTTGGCACTCCAAGGTACTTGGAGTAAAGTTAGTGTTGTTGAGTAAAGTTAGTGTAAATGACATTTTTAGGCGCAAATATCTCGAAAGTTACCAAAATACGAATTCGTTGTTTATGAATTATGCAAGTCAGGCAGTTTCACAGCAAACCATTTGAGATAAAGGGATTGTGATGTTCGTACGGCGGCCTTCGTGATTTTTAGGCAGCGGCACAGATGGCGCTCAACATGTAAGGAAAATCCCCATCAAATTAACTTTTTCCGGCTTGGGACAACTATACTAGGAAAAAGTGACACGTTGCATAATCAATGCACGTACTAAATTCACTATTATTTTAGCACGAAAAGTGGTATGATTTGAAAGTAAAATTTTCATTAGGTTTGTCTCTCTAAAAGCGCCATCTATTGCACTGCATTGAAACTTTTAAGTGACTGAGGACTCTATTGCTCTGTAATAGGTTTCAGGAGAACTTGACATTGTAGTGATACCATGGTTTGCAGAAGGCTTTGTACACTATGTTTTTATAGGATCCAAGTGGTTCCAAATAGGTTTCATACTCTACCAAATATTTTTCTAATACTTCTTTGAAGATGAATAAAAACAAAATGTGAAATAATTTATTTATTTACATTTAAATACATAACAAAATTAGTTTTCATTGAAAATAAATGTACTTTCCAGATTATTACAATTATTAGAACAAAATAATCCAATGGGGCAAAGAAACTATGAACACAGAAACAATAAATATGTAACTAAGTACTGATAAATTATCTCTATAGTAGTAACAACAAGTTTTTCCACGAATCATTTGGATATATACTTACTTGATTTCATAATTGATGATCCACACATACGTAATGATTGTTTTAATGAAAAGCATTCTGGCTTCCCATGCCATCCTATAGGACATTCCTGAAGGGAAGGAAACACATATTATGAATTAAATATATACTGTAGGATAATATTGTTTGAACGAGAAGTAATCGATGGGCAAAGTAGAGACCTAGAGAATAAATACGTACACGTGAACCCACTCGGAAGTTGGGTTACCTATTTTAACTAAGTGAACAACCAGTAGCGTAAAAGTGGATAGAAAGAAATGGAAAGAGTTGAAGGGGGATTATGCCGTAAACGCGTGTTTCACTCATTAACACGCGCGTCATATGCGCGTGTACGCGCCGCAGACGCGCTATGGTGAATCGATTCAAACGCGCGTAAACATCATGTCGCAAGCAAGATGTATCGAGCTGCGTTCGTACGAATCGACAAGAAATGCACGTCTTTTTCGCTCTTATATTCATGGACATAATAAAGCGTTTTCGACAGGCTTAGTGCGATTCTGCGTTAATAAGCGATACACTCCCTGTAATAACGCTCTTTCTTTCTAATTGTGTTTCATAGCGACGGTACTATAAAATGGTACTTACAAAAGCTATAGTTGTAACCATGCAAGCAAATAAATATTTCGATGAGCAGGCAAGTAATTCGAATGAATCGTTTTTGATACATTTGTTTTTAACCAAATTCACTGCGTTTCTGAATGCTGGGTGTTGCTTCGCCAAATCATTTAAAAAGTTATAAAATTTCTTCTCGTCAATAGTGTTTTTATATGTGTTTAATAAATTCAATCTATTTAACACGCATAATAAATGTGAACACTGAAAAAAATAGGGAAATATTAACAGCGCCGTAGTTTCTTCATGTGGGGATGCAATCCTTTTGACAAGACAGTAAAACAAATATACCTTGCGATGCACTATGAATATGTAATCCAAGCTAGCTTAATATATTATATGGAGCCCCGACACATATATGTCTTTAAAGAAGCTTAATGTCGGATAAAAGCGATGCCACATGGGGGTTTCTTAGGCATTGCGTCATCGCAACGCTAGTTAAACGAGTGCCACACGAGCGGTTTGTATTGCAACTTAACGTCGCTTACTTTCGCACCGCAGCAGCACCCTTCCCTGCTTCGTCTCCTGGCTCCTTGTACGACGCTTGTCGTTGTAATTTATATGTAATACAACGCGTTGAGTAGGCACAAAAAAGAGAAGTACTAGAATTAATAATATGGTAATCTATGATTGTACCTTTATTTTATAACTAAAAAAGGCACTAGACATTATATTTTAAGCTTTAATTCCTTGTTAAAAGGCTTGAAATGTAAAAAAAGGTATTTCATCATAAAAATGGAGTTACGAGGTTTTTAAATTTAGCCGACGTTATTGTTAATTAATTAACAATAACGTTAATTGTATTTTTGGAAGATAAATTTAAAAGCTTAGGAACTGCTACTTCTACTTTTACTTTATTACAAATACTTGTCCTATATCAACTTTAGGCATACGAATTGCCATGGCCAATTTGGAAGTCTTTAAACAGGTTTTATCAGGTCAGGATGGTTCTCACTTCACTTGCTTGTAAGATGCGATTCAAATTATGGCCCATCTTACATCGTGCTCTGCGTGTCCTGCACTTGAGGATTTAATGGCGGCTAATAGTAACGCGGTCGGTGTGGCTGAGTTCTAGGCCACAATAATATAGAGTTTACCATAGATACAATAAGAAGTAGTTTGATTCCAATTATCAGGGCAGCTGCCAATGGTACTCTCCTGTACATAATAATTATGAAACTTATCTGATGATTTGGCTAGTGCTGTTTTACCAGAAATTACGTATCAACTAATATATTATCCGATTGTGTAATGTCTAACCACAGAAAGACGATTTCTTTCACTAAATCGACCGATTCGTAATTTTTTTGTGTGTTACGCGATTACTCCGACATTTAAGAATCGATCGATTGTTCTTCCGTCGATGTTTTTTTTTTGGAAAAAGTTGTCCCCTCGGTAATGGTTCCATTCAAATTTGAAGAAAATATTCGACCTCTAAGGGTGGCAAATTAGAGGATGAATTCGGTTTATTGGATTTCACGTACAATGTAATAATACAATAAAACTTGATAAACAGATGTAATTCCTCAACCTTGTGAGGAATTCAAAAAAAGGAGGAGGTTGTCTATTTCATGGTTTTTTTTTTTGTGTGTATGTTACGCGATAACTCCGGCTATGTGAGGATATTTGTGAACAGATTTTGATGACTCATTTTTTGTTGGAAAGTACCCTATGAATCTGAATATGAATCTGATTTCGCGCACTTTCCGGTAACCGATTTCAATAAAACTTGGCAAATAGATGTATACCACGACCTTTTGAGGTCGATTTTTTAGTACACTGCACTGAGATTATTATTTTATAAAAGGTACTAAGAGAGTAAGTTCCTTCAGTACATAGCAGTTACTCTCTTAGTGTCTTGCATTTGTGTGCTTAACAAATAACGAATACTTATGAAGATGAATAATAATATGCAGCCTTACGTATGCTTCTTCGTCACTTCGTTTAAATTGTGTATTTCTCCGTTTTGCTTTTATAACGTCCAAGCGGCACGATCTCAATTTTTTATCGTAAAACAATGGCGGTAACTGACAGCAGTCACCAAGGGTTACATTCGTCTGTAACAATTATTTATTATTTTATATTATAAGTTCTTTTCATAACGTTTTTTAACATTGAACGAAGCAAATAGAAGACCCTATAACTGGTACTAATTTTGCCAAGCGCATTAGCATAAAGATAGACATACATCGAAACGCATCGTTTAGGATATCGGAGTATAGACAAAAGACTTGTACGGAATTAGTATGAAGCTTGGTACTTTATTCCCAGAAAAAGTTAACCAGTTTCAAATTTTTTGCCAGATATAAGCATGAAATAAAGAGCTTAGCGAAATAATAATAAAAAATATTGTGTGCTGCATTTTTACTTATTTATTTAAAACAAAAGTGTGATAGATATGTTAAATTAATTACCAGCAGCAGCGATACCAAAAAAAGTTCAAAATGCAGCAACACTTAAACGCTAAAATAATTAAAAATCATTAATTGGCTAATTGAATTCATAATAAATTGCTTAAGAATAACATTGACAGCTGATCTGTCAATATTTTTTATGGCATTGGCTATAAAAAATATTATACTGGCGCATTAGCCAAAAAATTACATAAAAATTAGTTCCGTTTTAATTTACGTAGTATTAAAAGTGCCTAACGATTTTCTGGAAATTGCAGGTCAAAAATAATTTGTTTTTAATTCAGACTTTTTGGATTTTCAGTACTCTTTACAAAAAACCAACTAAAAGCCTGGTTAAATTTTCCATTTATTTTAGTACCACTAAAGGAACAACTCCTTTATTTAGATTCCTAATTCGAGAGGTATTCGGTACGTATTGGCACACCAGATATTGCGACGTAGCCATTGACGTACAATTATATGGACGTCGGGTCCGCGCTAAAAAGTGTCCGCACTTGTAAGGCGCTAAAATCGTATACAGAGCGCCAAACTCCGCTTTAGTCTTCATTTGTTCGACTGACAGCGCGATACTGCGATGACATTACAATTTAAATTTCTAATAGTTTGACTTGGACCATTTTTTTCGTGGTTTTTGTATTAGACCCGTCGTCCATTTATTTGTAAGTCAATGGACGTAGCAAATAGTTATTTTTGTAACTAATTTGTTTACATTGACAAGCTGCAATTTGTCAAGCTGCTATAATTTCTAGTGATAACAAACAAATCAACTAGATGGTGCTTATTGCACAACATCATCACCACTATGTGGTTCTTGATCATCACAATCCGTTTTGTCTTTTATTTTATAATATCAAGAGGTTGGACGAACAAATTGTGCGCCTGGTGGTAAGCGACACGTCTGTCCGTAACAGTTGCAGTGCCACTCAGAGCTTTAAACCTGATGGGCACTGTCACTGCGTCCGTCACCCTGAGACATAAGCTGATAAGTCTCATGTCCCGGCAATTTCACTAGCACCCTTACCCTTCAAAACCGGAACACAGTAATGCTCACATTAAATTACGGAAAGCAGTAATGCTTGGCGGCAGAAATAGGTAAGGTGGCAGTAGGACTACTTCTACCTACTTCCCTGATCGAAGTCTTTCACAAGGAGGTCTTCTTTCTCAGAGCTACTTCTTTCGGTAGTAATAATGCATAATATTTCATTCTTGCGATTTGTCAGTGGGTAGTTTCTCCCTTCGCGAAATATACGTTATTACTATAAGGACGTGTTTCAATTGTGCTCGTGATTATTATTATATAAAGAACTATATATTTCTCAATTTACATATTTGAGCGCGACAGTGGAAAAAATGGCTGCACTTCAGTAGGTGTAAGATTATAAACATTGAAATTATAATGCGAACAGTAGGGTTCATGATAGGCACGAAATGGATGTAAAACTCTCAAGCACAAATAATTATACTTACATTATTAGAAATATCCCAATAACAACTCGCCGGCACAGCATTTTCTTCATTTGACTGTGATAGTTCCGTTAATAATGAACCTTGTGTTGCCAACATGTCTGGTGATAACTGTGATACGTCTATTAATTCATTGAGTGTTCCCTGAGGAAAATAGATAATACACAATGTATAAATACATACTTTAAGGGTCGTATTCCAGAACTCTACTCAATACTCAAGTCAGGATTTGAGTATTGCAGTGAGCACTGAAAATCATACTCAAGTCCTTGCCATTAGGGTCGTATTTCCAGTGCTAGTGAAATCATACTCAAGTCTGCTCAAATCCGATTTGAGAATTGAGTAGAGTTCTGGAATACGACCCTAAGAATGTCTTACTCAGGTGCGCATGGAATACTAGAATTCTATAATCTGTCTTTTTTAAAGACGGAGTAAAATGACAGTTCATTGCACAAAATTGTTGCCTGCTTGCGAGCAACTAGTGAATGCAGTCCACGAATATTCTATCGACTATCGATTGAATATTGGTCACGCTTATGGAGTAAACTGACCGACCGGCGAACTTGTTCATCCAATTACTGAGAACAAGTTCATTTGAATTGTCAATTATTGTAAGTTCACATATGCCTCTGCCACCTTACCTATTTCTGCCACGAAGCAGTACTGTCAGCATTATAGTGTTCCGGTTTTGAAGGGTAAGGGTGCTGGTGAAATTACAGGCACATGGGACTTGTCAACTTATATGTTATATATGGGTTACGGGCGCAGTGACAGTGCCCCTCAGATCTTTGCAATTTAAAGCTCTGAGTGGCACTGCAACTGTTATGGTCAGCAGCCGTCACTTGATATTATACTTGGTATTAGGTCGACGATGGAGCATGCACACCTAAATAATGCCTATTCACTCTCGCCTTGAAATGACCCAAGTTATAACGTTCAGGGAACAAGTCTGCAGACAGAGAATTCCACTCCATAGTCGATCGCCATATAAATGTGGCAGCGTAACGCTTCGTGCCAATCTTTGGAATATCTACAACTATGGGGTGGAATCCAAGTCTACGCTTAGTCCCCTGGTGATAGAAAGGGGAAGGCGGAATTAAATCGTGTAATTCCGTCGCATACTCTCCGTGATATACCCTATAAAATACCGATTCACATATAAGCTTCTTGGCACGGTTGTCAATTGAATCCAAGGTGGCCAGTTGGTTTGTAATAGAGCCATCCCAAAGGTGACAGCAGTACTCCCTGCAAGACCGGACTTGTGCTTGGTATAGCTGAAGCAACTATCCCGGTGTAAAGTAACGCTTCACCATGGAAAGGATCCCAAGCTTTCATGCTGCATTTTTGGCCATGGATTCGATGTACCTGCCGAAGTTCAAATTGGACGACAGGTCCATTCCAAGTAGCTGGAGACATCAGCTATTGGTATGCATATATCATGAAAAGTCGCAGTCAGCTCCATTTTGTGGAGAATAGATACCCCTGCGTTTTGGTAGCGTTAAATTTGACAAGATTGGCATCGCCCCAATCGGAGACTATCTTGAGTGTCTAATCCAAACGGCTAACCACTGGCTCTCGACAAGACTGGATTTCCTCTTCACTAACCCTTGCATTGGTCAAGTACCTATCTACAACTGTGCTGTCATCAGCATACGCAAAGGTACCTGGAATTAACATACCATAGCACAGAGAGTTACAGACAATACGGAACCCTGAGGAACCTTGAGGAGTTTTCCGATAAGCAATACGTGCATTAAGAACGATAGGAGGCATAAAAAGGTCAGTCGTGAAGAAATATTTTTAAAAAAACACCATGTGATGAATTCTACATTGTAGGGGTATTGCTTTCGAAGAAATTATCATTCTACTTTTATTTTATGTCATTATTTTATTTAGTGTATTTCGACAACATTTTGTTTATTTATATTCTTTTGGTTACAATATTTTGTTTTATATTCATTATTATTGTTTGTGTTACCGACGATCATTCATGTTATATTTCAAATTGTAGTATTGTGACGTTGCTAATATAAAATTAATAACTCTATTTTTAACATTTTTTGTTTAAATACGATCATTTATTGCTTTTAAAAACAATGACTATTTTCAATTTCCACTATAGTTTAACTTACGCGATTAGTCGTAGCACATTTCGTATAGAACACTTATTCAAAATATAGGGGTTAAAGTATGAAATTGCCGTTTTATTGCAATAGGTTCTTTAAATTTTCATAGAATCTTCATGGTTTGAGGTTTTCGAATGAAACTTTTTTCAAATGGTTTCTGTGATTTTTTTTTTAAATTTGAAACATTTGAATATCGACTTTCAATTGTTTTTGTTATTCAATTTAGACAAGAAAGATGGATACTGCGAAAATTCGAGTGATTTCGAATACGAGTTCCGACGCGGAACTAACGCGGCAGAAACAGCCCGCAATATCAATGCTGCGTTTGGAGATGGGTCTACTAATGAACGCACCGTGCGATTTTGGTTTAAACGCTTTCGTGATGGAAATTTCGACTTAAAGAACGAGCCACGAGGAAGACCGCCCACACAGGTGAATAACGATGAATTAAGAGAGATAGTGGAAGCCGATCCTAGTCAAACTACCCAGGAATTAGCGGCATGGTTTAACGTTACCTTACCCACAATATTGACTCACTTGCGTCAAATCAATAAAATAAAAAAATACGAAAAATGGGTGCCTCATGATTTGACTGATCTGCAGAAAGAAACGCGTGTTGAAACTTGTGTTGCCTTGTTGAACCGGTACAGAAATGAAGGAATCGAATTGTAACATGTGATGAAAAGTGGATTCTTTATGATAACCGGAAAAGAAAAATGCAATGGCTGACCCCAGGTCAGGACCCACAACAGTGTCCTAAAGCAAAACTTACCAATAAAAAGGTAATGGTAACTGTTTGGTGATCTCAGCATGGTGTTATTCACTATAGTTTTCTCCGATCTGGTCAAGCAATAACGGCAGATGTCTATTGTGCCGAACTCCGAACCATGTTGACAAAACTAGCAGTAAAACAGCCCCGACTCATGAATCGATCTTCACCATTATTGCTCCACGACAACGCGAGACCTCACACAGCACGAGAAACCATTTTGACCCTTCAGGAACTGCAGTTAGAAACCATTCGTCATCCTCCGTATTCACCAGACCTTGCTCCAACGGACTACCATTTTTTTTGTGATTTGGACAATTATCTACGTGACAAGAAGTTTTCTTCCCAGGAGGCAGTACAAAATGCTTTCACACAGTTTGTGCAGTCTAGATCGTCGGAGTTCTATCGCAAAGGCATTAATAACCTTCCCATTAGATGGCAGCAATGTATAGATAATAATGGCAACTATTTTGATTAAATAAATTTGTTAAAAATTTAAAAAATAAACAATTTAGATTTTCAGTACAAATCGGCAATTTCATACTTTAACCCCTATTATTACTTTCTTGTCAATAGTTCGTTATGCAGAAACGGCAAATTTACCTTTTTTTTTATTGTGACTCGGCAAAATGACTGCACCGCGCCTGATGGAAAGTGCGAATACAGTCCAGAGATGAAAGTAACGAATGGAAAACACAAATATCTTCACTTACATTATTTTGCATTTAAACAATTTATGGTCTCTTCAAATGTCGTAAATAGAAAGTGTCGTAGTAACTTAAAATAATCCTAATTATCTCTAACTAAGCCGTGATACCGTAATGGTTTGACCTCTCAAGCTGTGGCCGTGGGTTCAAATCCTGGCGTGCACTTCCAAGTTTTTCGTAATTTATGTACGAAATTGAATTTGAAATTACTCATGATCTTTTCGGTGAAGGAAACATCGTGATGAAACCCGCACGTCGAATAAGGTTCACAACCCTCGGGAAACGTGTGAAGTCCCCCCGCATTGGGCGAGCGTGGAGGCCTAAACCCCCGCTTAAGAGGAGACCAGTGCCCGGCAGTGGGACCTAGTACAAATGGGTTGATGATGATGATGATGATCAATAACAAATTACTGTGTCAGAAACAATTTTTCAGCTATCACAAAACATTTCGTCAAAAGACATAAAATCTCACCTCTGAATCAACAGCAAAAAGAATAATAAAGAGCACAATCATGGCTGGTTAACTATTCTTTACTAGAGCGACTAGCCCATATGTATAGGTGAACATGTAACATGTACTTAACATTATACAGGATGAAAACCAATATTGGCGACAGACCTTTTTTAAAAGAACAGGTCTCAATTCGACTGTTTTTTTCGTATGTATGTTAGGCAATAACTCCGGCTTTTGTAAACCGATTTTGATGATTCTTTTTTGTTGGAAAGAGGATTCCTCTGTATTGGTACCACATGTTTGTTTAGCTTAGCATTGTAATGATGTACATTTTTCATTGAATGAATATTAATATTATTATTATTTAATATCCTAACATTTCACTTAAACTCGGAGATTAATCCGGTTTCGTACACTTCCTATACATATTTCGAATTCGTTTATTTTTCACACACAATATATTTTTGATATTCATTGATTTTATTGTTTTGTCTGCTTTCTAACGTGTGCGAAACTATATAATTTTCGTAAAATAAGAGATCCCCAGCTCTTCTGGTGTCGTTTTCATTTTTTAAATTGAATTATAGATGAGGCTCCACCGACAAGAGTGTAACTCTTAAGTTTGATGATGTTTATAGATGATAATGAGTAAACCTTGGTAGAAAAAAATGTTTCATTAAAATTTGTTAATTAAAAAAAAATCGCATGTTACATCAATTCCATATGAATTCAAAGAACAATTGCCACCTTATTTATTTCTGCCGCCAAATAGTAATGTTAGTTTTACTATGTTCCGGTTTTGAAGGGTAAGGGTGCTGGCGAAATTACAGGCACATGGGACTTATGTCGTGTTATGTTGCGATTTAAAGAGCTGGCACTGCAACTGATAACAGCCTGTCCATAAGGACAGGCGTGTAGCTTACCATCAGGCGCACGACTTGTTCGTCCCGTCAGTTGATATTATAAAAAAAAATACAAACAAAAACAAAAAACAAACAAAGTTGTGTTGTTGTTAATATGTAGTGTGTACCTTTATTATAAAGTTTTTGTTTCACTATAGTTTTAAACCATATGAATGGTAAATTTTGGTTAACAACCGGTATCTTATTATATCAGCGCCATTGAGTAACACACTAAAACTACCTTAATCTTATACGTAAAATTTTTTTAACTTGAGTCCTTGTAATTAGATATGTAAGTTCATTTCTAAAATGAACAATTTAATTTTTTTGTTGTGCGAATTCACAAAAATATAGAACAAAATACGTTTGTAGTCAATATTTTCACCCTTTATAACACTTCTTACAAAAAAATGAAACTCAAGTGTAAAATTACGTTCAGATACATTGCCTACAATGCACATTGTATGCGCAAGTAACAATAGGTCATACATCAGAAAAAAATAAAGAAAAATATTAGTAATGCATATCACAATGCGTAACAAGTATTGGAAACGGTGCGATGTGTACAATCCGCGTGGGTTACCATTGCACTAATGCGTTTCGGACTGAATGGCGAGGAGAATCATTTCAATCACAGCCGTAGGAGACTTAAGTTCTCCTGTGGGATGTAAAATGGTGACCAAGGCATTTCCAATATTTACTTAGTATCTCAAATGTAAACAGGCCCTTATCAGTTTCTATTAGGTAGATCATCTCTATGTTAACCCGTTTTAATACCAATACAAAAAAGTGTATTAACGCTAACGGAGAATATTTTGAGAAACAATAAATTCATTTCTGACCATTTATAGTATTTTTTCCTATTCACTCCGGAAACTTATAGTGCGCCTCACGTATTATAAAACATAAGCTTTTATATTTGTATGCAATCATGTAGCTTTCTAATGCTATAAAAGCGTGTACGAGGCAGGCTTATAGTGAGTGAACTAGAGTTTTGTCTGAATGTTTACCTAATATTTTAAAAATATAGACTCTGTTTCACATGTTCTATTTTTTTGTATTATTTTGTTTCAAACTCAAAGTCATTCAGCAGTTGCGATTCCTATGCCTTAAAATAAAATAAGAAAACATAAAACTTATAAATAATTAATTTATACACAAAATTAACTTTATTAATTGCATTTCGGTTATATTAGCTACTTAATAAACACTTTCAATTGACTATAGGAATGTTCCGGCGGTAGTTTATTTAGAGGAGAGTTGAGGGTTCCTCAGTGAACTATATGGAAATAGAGTCGAAGTCGGAAGGGACAGACTCAAATGCAAATCTAAGTTAAAACACTTTAACACAAAACATTATAACGATATTATAAATATAGCTTGTAACATAAATTCTATTTTTAAAATTTAAACAAGTAAGGTGGGCAAATTTTCATAAAATCTTTCATGTAAGCGCAGCGAGGGTCAGTTTGCCATCCTGGACATTCCTGTAAACAATTATACTATATTATATATCTCGCGACTTACGCGAGAGCGTAACCGCTGAACACAAGTTTATTCTAATAAATAGATAGATAGGCTATACAAAAGATACAAGGTTAATATGGAACATGAGACCCATAAATTAATTTACACTCGTTACAGAAACTTTTGTAATAAAGTGTTACGCAGAGTAAAAAGGGAATACGAATCTTTCGAACTGGAGAAAGCAAAGAACAATCCTAGAGCTACTTGGGATACTTTAAAAAGGATAGCAAAGTTAAATATTTTCTCTTCCTCAGCTTCAAATCTTCTTACATCCGATCAAAACCCAAAGTCTGCTGTTGATAATGTCAATAACTTCTTCGCCAACGTTGGCAAAAGCTTAGCGGATAAAATTGTTGCTTCAAACCATTCTTGTAGAGCACCTGATCCCGCTCAAAGCTAGCCTTGTAACTCCATGGCAATGATAGCAGTGGATGAATTAGACGTTAAGAGTATTATAAATGACTTGCGCAGTGATTGCGCTGTAGATTGGGACAGAATATCTTCAAAAATCATTAAATCCTATGCTGATGTTTTAGCACCTCCCATTACTCACATTTGCAATTTGGCTATCTCGGCAGGCATTTTCCCAAGGGCTTTCAAAACTGCATTAGTCCACCCTATTCACAAGAGTGGATCCACTGATAATGTAATAATAATGTAATAACTATAGACCGATTTCCATTTTGTCCGCGCTGTCGAAGGTCTTGGAGAAAATAATGAACAAGCAGCTTTTGAATAATTTGGATAAATTTAAAATAATATCTGATAACCAAGTTGGATTTACATCGAGACTATCCACTGAGGATGCAGTTCTTAGCTTGACAAATCGTATGGTGGAGAGTCTTGATAATAAATCAAAATGCATAGGTATATTTCTTGATCTCTCCAAGGCCTTCGATACCGTGTCAATTCCCATTTTACTAAGCAAACTAGAAGCTATTGGTGTCAGAGGGCTTTCACTGAAATTGTTTGACAGTTACTTGAATCAGCGCACTCAAATAGTCAAAATTTACAAATATTATAGCGAGAAATTATGGATAACGACTTAAACGCTCTACGCCACACCGCACCAGAATGGCCAGAATTTTGAATCTCTAGGGGTACAAGTGACATCATTATATCCTTGGATTCGGATCTGATGCAGTTCACAAGCGACATACGAAGTCAGTCCGAATTTTCTAGATCTGTATAATCTCGGATTTGGATCGGACACTGTGCGAAAACGCCTCACATATTTCACATCTCACATAAATGGGAAGCAGACCAAACATATATTCCGTCGCGTACGACACACGCCACATGTCGCTTTTGCCAACTTCTATCTCACAAATTCACCAATTCAGTGCTTATAATTACGTTATTTAAGTTTTTAAGTTTCATTTTCAAAATACTCGTTAAGCTGAAAAGCTTTTCTACATCAGTTGCGTTAGAATTGGAAAAAAAAATAACAAAGTTAATTATCCTGTCTGCTCGTATGGACCTCCAAATAACCGGTTTTAGTGAATTAATTAATAAGCCGGCGACACCAATCGCTTAAAAAAAATGGCGACTGCAATGCGTTAAGTTTGAGTTTGTGTGCGTCTCGGTGTACCAACACAAGTGAAAAATAAAAGAAATATACAATGTTTTTGTTCTTGGAAGGAAAAGGATACTGTACCTCTCATAAATATGAGTATGTAGGTGTGAAAATATGTTTAGTCTGCTTCCCATTTATAAGTCTGTGAAACACCTAAGTATCATGAAACTCGTACATGACAGAGCTTATCTACTTACAAACAGCATTATTGAAAAGATGCAGGCAAAGATTTTTTCTGGGGGACATGACTCCATGCCAGTGAGTTGCTTCCCAACGCATGTCTTCTTCGCTGAAGCAATTGCTGACTTAAATGAAGGGTTCTCCTTCACATAGTTGTTCATGAGGGTATAAAGCAACTCTGAGTCGACTTCGCCATCACGTAGAACATTGTATACTTTTGCTAAGCATTTAAACTTTGGACACTGTAACAGGTTTACATTTTTATGTTAAAGACAGGGTACCTTAAATAAGTGAAATTAATTGTAATGTTTTTCAAAGTAACATTAATTACTTAGATACCTCCAATGTCCTTTTACTTATCGTATGTCATAGAGATAGATTTTTGGTAAAAAAAAATGTAATTTGTTTTTAATGTGGTTGGTGAAAATACAGCTGCACGTTAGGCCGCGTCCCCAATGTGTCGTGACGTTTTATTTATCGCTGGATAACTGTCGCGCTAGCCTGTTCCCATATCATGATTATCTGTCGTGGACGATTATGTTATCGTTGAACGACTGTCGTGTCGAGCTGTTTCTACTAGATCGTGACGACAATTTATCGTTTCACGGCAGCCGCCTTGTCGTTTGCAAGACAGAGTCGTTTGATGCACTGCAATTACTTCTATGTTCTTTTGGAAGCCAGTTTTCGCTCCCGTGTGAAATGGATGAAGATGAAATTATAATAATGTATTACTTTTTGAAAAGGCGGAAGAGGAAGCAAACGAAGAAAATAAAGTTTTAGGTACATCGAATGTTATTAAAAAGACTTCCATTAGACTTCCATGTTAAATGTTTATAGTTGAATTGAAAAGTAACGAGAGACAATTTTGGGACCATTTTATATTTTGTAATTATATGTATACTTAAATTTCAACAATACTCAATTCACAACAAATATTTAGTCGTAAATAGGTTTTTATCCTCGACTTCGGGCATTAATGGGGTTTAACTCGATTTAAACCCGGCGTTAAAGGCGTTAACGTTCGCGCGACTTGATCAAATACAAAATGCGCGAGACGAAGACACGCGGCCGCGCTTGGTGTGTTGTCATCCATATAAATTGGACGGAATTGGACCCTTCTTGCGCCGTGCTTCCGACCCGACACGCGCCCGACCCGCACCCACTCTCTGCGTGTTTTACGCTTTAATCTGAATACTCACATCTCTGCTAGTCACATGTTTATTAGCAAGCACGCTGTCCGGTTCTGGGAAGCCACATTTATACATATCCTTGACGCTGAACAAGGGCGGCATATCGCAGCAGTTTGGTGCGGGTTCCTGTAATCATTTCAGGTCCACAGTCAATAGCTGGATATAAACGAAATGACCACAATTTAATGTAACAATCATCTTTTTCATCATTTAGTTATTGTGTAAATTTGATATTGTGTGCAGGAGGACGGGTGGCCGCCGGAGCAGGCTCTTCCTAGAGTGACGACCACGTCAAAGAAAACGTAAATTGGGACACCTACAAGATGGAGGCACGACCTGAGAAGGGTGGCCCGTAGGCTGCGGCTGGATACGAGCGGGACACGACCGGGAGAGTTGGCGTGTTCAAAGGGAGGCTTACGCCCAGCAGTGCCTACGTGTAAACTGACGATAATGATGATTTTGGCTAAGCCGTAGCATGGAGACGTCAAAACCACTAAATGAGGCGAGATTATTACCGTGATGGTGTAATAGCGAGTCTTAAAATTTCACTCAAAGCTCATTCATTATCTTATAGTCAAATTATTCTACGAGTATTTTCCTATTCTTGCTCTCTTTCTAATATTATTAGCTATTTTATTTTACCTCTATCCCTTATTTTCTTTCTTCCGTGGTAATGATTAACATAAGTACATACAATGTATTTATTTAAATTTATTATTATTTTTAAATGCATTTAAATATAATAATAAATATTAAATATATTTAATTATTTTTATAGTGTAAGTGCATTAAATTCGCTTTTATTATCATAATGTAATTATTAAGTTTATCCTGTAGCTCGGAGTTGGAGGTGTAGAAGAGATTGCCATCTAGTAATAAGGCCACCAGTTGTACCTGTCTTGTGTCTTTTGTTTACCTTCTTTAAGTACTTACCAAATATGGAGCGCTACCTAAGCATATCTCGGGAATATTTGCTGGTGGTTGCGCATGTATCACCTGAAAGTTTTATTTTGTGACAAAAGTTGGTTAATAGGCATAATTAAAATTGCTTAACTAACCGACAATATTGTTATACTATTGAATTATTTAACTAATTACATTGAAAACTAACCTATCTACCAATCAGTTTAATATAAAAGTATAATTTACGTATTTAGATTTAGTATTACTGTATTGTTTTAATTTTAGTTTTGAATTCATTCATCAATATTGGGCTAATTATGGAATGTACACTAAGTGGTCCAATCGTATTATATAAAATCCGTAAGTGCATAGGTTAAGGTTGCATACTTTGAATTATAAACAATGAACAAAATCTCACCTCTAAAACCTTAGCTAAGATAAGAATACCACCCAAGTTACTCATGGTTTCAGAACGAATAACGAACAAAAACGACGGGATGAGAGCGTGGCTGACAGTTTATATACTTGTACGCGTAGACCGTTATCAAAGTATCACTTGCAATTAGAGTAACTTGAGAAATGTGTATAAAGAATGGACACTTGGCATATTTAACAAACGCCTTTGGTGTCTGTACTCGCACGCACACACAATGCATATAATAACTTATAAAACTGCTCCCTAACCACATTTGTGCCTTAAGTATAGTAACTGCTTACCAAACAGGTTGAAACTAAGAGTCATGAGATACAGGGCCTATTTTAGGGTCCTGTCTGTTACAAACAAATATTAATATTTATTATTATTACTAATGTAGAATTAAAGGACCCAAACTCAGTACGATATATTTATAATGTGAGAAAAATTTTAAGCACCGACGCAAACCCTACCAGCGGGTAAGCCTCTTGGTAAGCCTTGAAATTTATTTTTTATTTACTTTAGCTCATCGTTCATACTTCTTTAGCTCATCTAAACGAATAGTACCAATTTAAATACAAAAATTACGTTCATTTTAGCAATTCATTAAAGAAGGATGGCGAAAGCTGATCAGAGCCAAAATCAACGAAGTGCCGTTCATGGACTTTACTAGTATAATTTTACGGTTTAGTTTATACCTAGTTATTAATATATTTTTGTATATTTTTAGAGGTCGGGAATAAAGAAATTGCAAAACAATGTATTTTAGCATAGATGCATGAACACGACGCAATTGATTCAGTTCGACCATAGATTAGGTAAAGCTCTTGTACGTACGTTTTATTAAGCATTATTGAATGTTCACTTACCTAAAGTATTGGTTATTTTATAGTACACACGTAAAACATTAAAGCTATAAAATACCTAATCAAATAATCAATTAAACAATAACGACATAAAGTAAAAAATAAAACGTAATGTGACAAAAATGTTTAAACAATATTTAAATGAGAAATACGAAAGCTAGGAAAGGAACGTTTTATCAAGTGGCCTCTTGCTAATGTCAATGTCATTTTGAGATTGAGAACAGTGTGACCATTTGTGGCAGATTATTGCCATTTGGGCCGATATAATTTTTATTAATTTTCATTGCGACAGAACATTTTAACGTTGTATTAAATGTGGCAGAGTTTGGCAGATTTAGGAATTGCAGCAAATTCTTTATTATTTTTAGGAACAAACTGAAAACTTGTTGTTTTCTGCTATTACGAACAAACATCTGCAGCGAAATATAGGACATTGTTATAAACATAACCAATATCAAATTTATAACCCCAGCTTCTACAGCCCGTACTTAATTAGCTTTTTTGATGCTTTGATAATGAATCACAAGTATTGATAGGTCTCGTTAATGCATGTCATCAAACACACTGGGTCAGAAATACACGGGACGGTGCCATCCTTCTTTTTAAATTCATATTATTGTTTAATAGGTAACCTTAAAAAAAACTATACTTGTAGGCATTACGAAATGTTTCGTCTTATGTTATAAATGTTATGAAAAGAATCATAATATCAAGATGGCAAATGTTTCTTTTCTCAATGTTTTTGTATATTAAACTGTTTCTTGTTGAACAAAGGTGGTATGCTTTAGTGTATGTTGTACCTCATTGCTACTCGGCTTGACCCACGGTTTTCCAACAATGTTATTTTTATAATATTAATATAATCTCCCGACTAAACAATAAAACATAAATATAGACTTTATATTGTTTGCCATGTCTTGCGTACCAATTTTTTTCAATCTGACATAAGATGGAGGACAATTTTTTTTCCATCGGGCGCGAGAATAAGTGACATTTAAATTTTTTAAATTAGTTTAGTTGGTATAGCGTCTGCCACGGTATGCAAGAAGACGTCGGTTCGAATCTGACCGGATCGAAAGATTTTTTTCTGAGTGTTCGATCTTTGTATTATTAATTATAATAACCTAGTGGAGTAATTTCACAAAAAATAATTGAATATGAATTCAATGAAAATTTTAAAATTAAGTTGCGTACGTGTGCACTGCGAAAAATAACTTCCGAAATAAGCACAATGTTTAGTTATATCTATATATACTTTATTGGTTACAATTATATGTATATTATTATGAAAAGGTTGGGGAATGGGTGGATATTTGATCGGGTAAATGAGTAACTAAAATACTATACTTGATATAATTATTCCGATAATATAATATTCTAATGATTTTGGTTCTCCAATTGATCAACCTAAAGTTGTTAGGGCTTTCAGTCTCGCTACATTTTTCCAATAGTAGGTTTCCATATAAATAGGCTAGGCATGTAGGTACTCGAAATATGAGATTTTAATTAACTCTTTACTAACTCAAATAATAAAACCACAAATTTATGAAAGGTTTTAATGTCTACGGTGGCTACGAAAGACATAAAGAGCGTTTAATGTAATTAGTAATTTAGGGAGGACCCTTTTCTATTGTTCTTCAATCTCTGTGTGATCCACCTTAGCTGAATGTAGGATTATACTAATACTTATGCGTTTTTATTAAGTAGCTTGTTTAATAAATAGGTGCATATTTCATATAATAAGCATTTAGTAAGTTCTTCAGTGATGACAGCGAGCTAGGATATAATACAGGAGAAAACAGTTATTTGCCGGAAAACGGTAACAAATCACAATGGCATGTAAAATGCACCCTTGTCGTGGTGATGATTATGATACATGATATATATATGTATGTATGGTGTATAGAATGACGTAACGGACCGGTGACCGCAACTCTACATACATCTGGATGCTTGTTTTTCGTGTCTACGAATGGTATAATTCATAGTTATGAACATTTATAGATTAAGAAAGAACGTGGATCCAAGAACTATTTCGGTTTCAATGTTACCTTTTGTATGAAATCTCAGTTATTTGCATTTCGATACCTCCGGAGAATACTATGCCAACAAAATTTTTATACCTGTTCGGTTTTTATTTCGTTTTTTGTTTCTTTTTAGAAAAATATTTCTTGTTTTTTTTCGAGTTTTGTTTTTTGTTTCTTTTTTTTTCACAAAATTCGGGGAGCATAATATTATTAAATAAATATGTTTACAAAAATAACAGAAAATGGCCAAAAAATAAAGTTGGCGTAGTGTTCATTGAAGGTATTGATTTGGTTAGTTTATTTTCATAGACAAGAAGATACAGAAATGAATATTATATTCTAAAGGCTGTTTACTTCTTAATAAAGACCTAATTGTATGTAAATCTACTAGTATCATATTTAAAACAGAATATCCTAGTGAGATATTATTATAGTTGTGTAGTATACTTGGTGCATATTTGTTTTATCACTGACGACAAATATATGGTCGAGGATATTTACTCAGCGTTATTTTCGAAAATGGAAAACGCAAATAAGTTTGTTGCAATTGCAGGCATACACTGGAAAATAAGTTTTAGTAACAGTAAAGCTCCTCGTGATAGAGTTCGTCCAGTCAAGTACTGCCACTGCCACAAACTCACGAAATAAATAACTGGAAATCGAACCCTGGACCTCTGTGTGGCAGCCCGGAATGGTAACCGTTCGGCCAGAGAGGCAGTTAAAAAAACTTATGTCTCAGGGTGACGGCCGCAGTGGCACTGCCCTTCAGACCTTTGCGGCTTGAAGCTCTGAGTGGCATTGCAACTGTTATGGACAGGCGTGTAGCTTGCCATTAGGCGCACGACTCGTTCGTCACGTCAAATGATATTATAAAAAAACAACATATTACAAAATAGAAGCTTTTGTTTTGTATGCAATCATGTAGCTTTCTAGTGCTATAACAGTGCGTACTGGCCGAGGAATGCTAATAGTGAGTGAACTAGAGTTTTATCCGAATGTTCACCTAACATTTCAAAAAATAGACTGAATTTTACATGTTCCACTTTCTTTTATTATTTTGCTTCAAATTCAAAGTCATTGCCTACACGTTGAAACAAAATTAAAAATATAAAAAAAATATAAATAAACGATTCGTGTACAAAATCAACATTTTTTTAATCTAAATTTAAGGAGCTTTACCGTGTATTTGAATAGTAATGTCGCTCCGTATTGCTACTTAATTTATACATCTAACCTAGATTAAGACTATCTAAATATATTCTGTACAGTATCTTGGCTTCGTTCGACGACGGAACGTCCGGTATACTGTTACACCACCCAGTCTGTCGTATGTTGGCCACACTGCCCAACTGTCTCTTGGTATGAACACATTCCATCAAAACCTGGTAAATATCTTCAATGACGCCGCAATTGCTACAATAAGGAGTTAGTGTACAAATCAACTTTCATTATTATAAAAATGTATGTAAACTACATGTATTATATCTCGGTTATATCTAGTTAATAAACACTTTCTATCGACTGGGGGAATGGTTACGGCGGTAGCTTATTCAGAGTTTATTTAGCAAATCTAAGTTAAAGAACAAGAACATTTTAACGATACTTATAAAGAAGGATGGCGAAAGCTGACCCAAAATCAACGAAGTGCCGCTCATGGACTTTGCTAGTATAATTTAACGTTTTAGTTTATGCCTAGTTATTAATATATTTTGTATATTTTTAGAAGTCGGGAATAAAGAAATGGCCAAACAATGTATTTTAGAATAGATCTAAGAACACAACGCAATTGATTCAGTTGGACCATAGATTAGTTGCCATTCTTGTACGTACGTTTCATTTTAAGCATGATTGAATGTTACCTACCTAAAGTATTGGTTATTTTATAGTACACCATACATCATTAAAGGTATAAAGTAACTAATCAAATAATCAATTAAACAATAATGACATAAAGTAAAAAATAAAACAGAATGTGACAAAAATGTATAGACAATATTTAAATGAGAGATACGAAATTAAGCAAAGGAACGTTTTGACAAAGGGCCTCTTGCCAATGTCAATGTCACTTTGAGATTGAGAACAGTGTGACCATTTGTGGCAGATTTCTGCCTTTTGGGCAGATTTAATTTTTATTCATTTTCATTGCGACAGAAAACTTTAACGTGTTGTATTAAACGTGGCCAGAGTTTGGCATATTTAGGAATATTCATCAAATTCTTTATTATTTTTAGGAGCAAACTGAAAACTTGTTTTCTGCTACTAATGTTATAAACATAACCTTAACGTTGTAAATTAATAATTATTTTATTTGTTTTATTTATGGTTAAAAAATGCATCTGGAAGAGTCCTGTATCCAGCAGTGGAACGTACAGCTAGGAATATCAATGTAGTACATTATTTCAAGCGGAGCGCGAGCCATTTTTTATAGGCGACAACTGGTTTGGTTCCTCACCCCTTGCGGGATATCAGGCAAGTCGCGGTTCCGCTATCACTTTGTCGATGGCGTACTCCGAAATCTATCTTAGCGAGAGACGCACGCGTATTTCTCTAATAATAGCGTTTTTCTATGCGGTCTCCGCGAAATACATTTTTTTTGTAATTTAGAGTTATTAAATTATTAGTGTTTTTAAACACACTTATTTGGTACCGCTGCTGGTCGTAGGAAGGCAAAAGTGCAGTGTATAACCGTTGGGTTTTAAACAAACCGCGCCCAAACAAAAATTTGTTTACAAAGGTACTTCGTTTTTTATTTAGAACACCTCGTATATCAATTTTATAACCCCAACTTCTACAGACTGTACTCAATAAGCTTTTTGATGCTTTGATAATAAATCACAAGTATTGATAAGTCTCTTTAATGCACGTCGTCAAAACACTGGGTCACAAAATACACGGCATGTCGCCATCCTTCTTTAACTTATTGTCATTACCCATAAACCCTATAACATAAATACTGTTTTCAAAATTTAAACAAGTAAGGTGGGCAAATTTTCATAAACTCTTTCATGTAATCGCAGCGAGGGTCACTTTGCCATCCTGGACATTCCTGTAAACAATTATTATATTACTTAGCATAATATTAATTTCCAATGGATTATGTGTTAACTACACCGCATAGTCCCATAATGTGATTTCTTCTGGACAAACATGATCGCTGTGTTTTTAGGAATTACTCCCTATAATTAACCCTTTTGATCGGCATTGGAATACAATAGGGCTAGCACGGTAGGATGCGACTTGCGCGAGAACGACATAAAGTGCGATATCTCTATGCGAGAATGGCAGTATCTCACGCTTTGTCGCTCTCGCTCAAGTCGCGCCCTGTCGTGCTAGTCCTACAGGTTTTTGTTTTCACATTTAGTCGGTTAGGTTCCCAGGTGAGACAAGCAACTTTTAAAAAATCTTTGAATGCAGTATTGCTTTTAAAAATAAAATAATGACTCTAGAAGCAAAATATCGCAACTACAAAATTTAAAGTACATAGTATCCCTACCGCTTTTGGTTTTGGTAAAATCTTAAAGAGGGCACTGTCAATAAGCAAAGCAAGAAGAAATTTTTGGAGAATATAAAGCTGTTTTACACGACTTAAAAAAAAAGGAGGAGGTTCTCAACTCGACAGTATTTTTTGGGTGTATGTTACACGATTACTCAGACATTTGTGAACCGATATTCGATGATTCTTTTTTGTTGGAAAGTGAGTATTTCAGAAGTGGTCAATTCGTAGAAAATATTCCACCACTAATTGTAACAAATTAGGAGATGAATCCGGTTTATCCAATAGATCCGGATTCATTTCCTAATTTCACTTACTTTCCGTTAACTGATTTCGAAAAATTTGGCAAATAGATGTAAAGCCACAGACTTTACACGCCCTACCAGTCGGCGACGTGTGTTGCAATCTGTTAACAATTAATAAGCCGGCCACAACAGTCGCTTAAAAAAATGGCGACTAACATGCGTTTAAGTTTGGGTTTGTGTGCGTCACGATGTACCAACACAAGTGAAAAAAAAAAAAATGTATACAAATACATTTGTTCTTGGAAGGAAAAGAATACTGTATCTCTAATAAATATGAGTATTTTTTATTTATAAGTCTGTGAAACACCCTAAATATCATGAAACTCATGCTCATGATGGAGCTTATATACTTACAAACAGCATTATTGAAAAGATACAGCCAAAGATCTTTTCCGGGGGACATGACTCCATACCAGTGAGTTGCTTCCCAACGCATGTCTTCTTCGCTGAAGCAATTGCTGACTTGAATGATGGGTTCTTCTTCACATAGTTGTCCAAGAGGGTATGAAGCAACTCTGAATCGACTTCGCCGTCACGTAAAACATTGTATTTTTTTGCTATGCATTTAAACTTTGGACACTGTAACAGGTAATATATTTTTATGTAGCTAAAGACAGGGTACCGTAAACAAGTGAAATTAATCGTAATGTTTTTCAAAGTAATATTAATTACTTATCTAAGTACCATTATAGGGATATTCCTATAATGGTAGTCAATGTCCTTTTAATCATCATGCGTCCAAGAACCACAAATTTTTGGTAATAAAGAATTAAAAATTATTTATAAATTTTTTAATGTGGTTGATGAAAACAAAGCTGCTAACGTGCAGCTTGGCTGCGAACTGGATGACAGCGTCCGGGCAGCGCGGCGGTCGGCACGGTGGCGGCAGCGACGCGAGCAGCGTCTCACGCGACTTGATCAAATACAAAATGCGTGTGATGGGGGCACGCACCCGCGTTCGGTGTGTTGTCGTCCATATAAATACACGGAATTAAACCCGCCGCGCGCCATGCTTCCAGCACGACACGCGCCCGACCCACACCCGCTCGCTGCGTGTTTAATTTGAAAACTCACATCTCTGGTAGTCACACGTTTTTAAATTATGCATCTTCTGTTTACAGAATCGCTTACCCGTGAAAAAAAGTCTCTGTTTACTCGTTTACCCACAGTTATCTCTGTCGCCGCCATGCTGCCGGTCGCTGTCCAGTTTGCAGCCCTAGTGACAGAGTTGTGGTTCTACCAAAATCGTTAGAGTTACCGTGTGCCTCTAACGATTGTAAGTGAACATTCACGTACAATTATTACAATTAACCCGTTGGTTGCATTCGGAATCTGTGCATGGTATTACCACAGGTCAATAAGACAAGTATGGTAACCCCCATTCTACGCAGCAGGTTTATATTAAGGTTCCCACCCTACCTTAGTATGATTTTTTTGTTTGCCCGTCACGCGCCCGTGTGTGTTGTATTAGCGTCCATATAATACACGGAATTAGATCCGCCGTGCTTCCGACCCGAGACGCGCCCGATCCGCACCCGCTCTCTGCGTGTTTTACGCTTTAATTTTGAATACTCACATCTCTGCTAGTCACACGTTTATTAGCAAGCACGCTGTCCGGTTCTGGGAAGCCACATTTATACATATCCTTCACGCTGAACAAGGGCTGCATATCGCAGCAGTTTGGTGCGGGTTCCTGTAATCATTTCAGGTCCACAGTCAATAGCTGGATATAAACGAAATGACCACAATTTAATGTAACAATCATCTTTTTCATCATTTAGTTATTGTGTAAATTTGATATTGTGTGCAGGAGGACGGGTGGCCGCCGGAGCAGGCTCTTCCTAGAGTGACGACCACGTCAAAGAAAACGTAAATTGGGACACCTACAAGATGGAGGCACGACCTGAGAAGGGTGGCCCGTAGGCTGCGGCTGGATACGAGCGGGACAGGACCGGGAGAGTTGGCGTGTTCAAGGGGAGGCTTACGCCCAGCAGTGCGTACGTGTAAACTGACGATAATGATGATTTTGGCTAAGCTGTAGCATGGAAATGTCAAAACCACTAAAAGAGGCGAGATGATTACCGTGATGGTTGTAATAGCGAGTCTTAGAATTTCACTCAAAGCTCATACATTACCTTATAGTAAAATTATTCTACGAGTATATTCCTATTCTTGCTCTCTTTCTAATATTATGTGCAATTTTGTTATGCCTCTACCCCCTCTTTACTTTCTTCCGTGGTTATAATTGACATAAACATATTGAAATATTTGAATTATTTTTATAGTGTAAGTGCATTAAATTCGCTTTTATTATCATAATGTAATTATTAAGTTTATCCTGTAGCTCGGAGTTGGAGGTGTAGAAGAGATTGCCATCTAGTAATAAGGCCACCAGTTGTACCTGTCTTGTGTCTTTTGTTTACCTTCTTTAAGTACTTACCAAATATGGAGCGCTACCTAAGCATATCTCGGGAATATTTGCTGGTGGTTGCCCATGTATCACCTGAAAGTTTTATTTTGTGACAAAAGTTGGTTAACAGGCATAATTACAATTACTTAACTAACCGACAATATTGTTATATCTGTCTAATTATTCAATTAATTACATTGAAAACCAAACTATCTATTAATCAGCTTAAATATAGAAGTATTTAAGCTAATTCAATTATAGTTTTGAATTCATTCATCGATATTGGGCTTACTATAGAAACTACACTAAGTAATCCAATCGTATTTTATAAAATCCGTAAGGGCATAGGTTATGGTTGCATATTTTTAATTATGAACAATGAAGAACATCTCACCTCTAAGACCGTAGCTAAGATAACAATACCACCCCAGTTACTCATGGTTGCAGAGCGAATTACGAACAAGAATGATGGGATGGGAGCGTGGCTGAAAGTTTATATACTTGTACGTATAGACCGTCATCAAAGTATTACTTGCAATTAGACTAACTAGAGAAATGTCTATAAAGAATGGACACTTGGTATATTTGACGCCTGTTGATGTCAGTACTTGCACGCGCATGCACGCACACGCATTACATATACTAACTTGTAAAACTACTCCCTAACCACATTTGTGCCTAATAACCTTAAATACAGAATTGCTTTACCAAAAGATTGAAACTAGGAGTGTAAAGATACAGGGTTCGCCTATTTTAGGCTCCTGTCTCTTACAAACATTAATATTTATTATTATTACTAATGCAGAATTACAGAAGCCAAATTCATTATGATATATTATGTGACGAAAATTTTCAGTACCGCCGCAAACCCTACCCACCAGTGGGTAAGCCTCTTTATAAGCCTTAAAATTTATTTTTTATTTATTTTCTTTAGCTCATCTAAACGAATAATATCAATTTAAATAGAAAAATTACGTTCACTTCATCAATTCATAAAATTGATACATTGATATTATTGTTTAATAGGTACCTACCTACCTTAAAAAAATTATACTTGAAGGCGTTATAAAATGTTTCATCGTAAAATTCTTAATCTATGACTGTCATAGATGTTATGAAAAGAATCATAATATCAAAATGGCAAATGTTTCATTTCTCAACGTTTTTGTATATTAAACTGTTTCTTGTTGAACAAAGGTGGTGTGCTTTAGTATATGTTGTAGTACCTTGTTGCCACTCGGCTTGATCCACGGTTTTCCGAAAACATTTTTTTTTATAATATTAATATAACTTCCCTACTAAAGAATAAAACGTAAGTATTGACTTTATATTCTTTTTCCACGTTTTTATTTATCTTGCATACTTACTAATTTTTTTCCATCTGACACAAGATGGAGAACAAAATTTTTTTTCCATCGAGCACGAGGGCAAGTGAAATTAGTTTTTTTTAAATTAATTTGCGCATTTATGCCTGCGAAAATAACCATTGGGAATGGGTGAATATTTTAATGAGTAAACGAGTAACTAAAATACTATACTTGATATGGGCATTTGTTGTGTGGTCACAACTCGACTTATTTATCAAAACAAATATCTACAAAAAAAGGAGTGTATAATATAAGTCGAAAGCTGACTGGAGAGCATAAAACCTTTACAATAAACCTTTTGGACCTAATGGAAAAAAATCGAAATGCCTTAAACCTGACAACGGTTGTATATCCCGAATGCAGAACCCAAATTGTCATATTTTCTCAAATTTGAAACCGTGTATGAATATTAGACTTTGAAACTGTATATTAATATTAGACTTTAGGTCACGTGTAATCAAATTAGATAACAGTACTTGTAACCTAAATTCACAATAAACTAGACAATAGTTTTATCAGAACACCAAGATTGCTGCGTGTCCCAGGCTTACGCCAGAATTCGGTGGTAGTTACTAATCACGCTGCACGGCACAAGTAAAGTATTTTAGAAGTTTCGCAATTGGTTTATATATAATTCATCCATCACACCCCTGCGGCTGAAGGTTTGGTCCAGGTTGATTTTTGAATTCGGTGTATACGTGTACACGATTTTCAAAAACTAAATATCACGGTTGTATGTAATATTTTGTATAATATGTGTTGTAACGAATAAAATATAATAACAATTTGTTGATTTTACAAGTATTGTCGTTACGAGTAATATAAAAAAATATATTTTCTGAATCCCGTGGCCTTGGATCCCGTGGAAATTTATTCCACCGAATTCAGAAAAACATCCACCGAAGTAGGAAAAAACCGCCATCGAAGCCACATTTTCTATGAAAAGTAAGAATTTTATATGTTTTTTCGTATAAATGTTTAGTTAATATTATTGATTTTCATAATTTAATATTTACTACTTGTTTTCCGCTGAAAATGAATAAGGAAAATCAAAACAGAAAAGAAAAATTAGAAATCTAAAAGATGAAGGAAAGTGCTAGAAACGCAAAAATAAAAAAACTATCCAATTAAAAGATTTAAAGAAAGAGATGATGTGTGCGAAGAAAAAGTGGAAGGAAAGATTATGAAGTTGCATGAATTACTTTGTCATGCAATAAAAGCAATGAAAGATATTAATCGTGCGAGTTTCAAAAAATTTATTGCTTTTGAAGTTACAGATTGCACACTAATTTTTTTTAAAAAGAGGTAGGAAAAGAGGTACGGAAATACTTTGTGTGATCGAAAAAACGAAACATCCTAACTGAAAACTGATTTTAATTAATATTTGTAAGGTGAAATTTGTTCACGTTGTTTCGGTTACGTTTTATATAAATTTTAGTTTTTATAGCTTTATTTAATAGTTAGTCATATTAGTAAATGTTGATGTAGATAATCGAATGTTTTTGCCTTTTTTTCATAATATCTTATACAAAAATGTGTGTGTCTTTTGTTAAATTATCCTGATTTCGGTGGTAGCTGAATTCGCTGGATTAAATATGTCATTAACTGTTAAAATTCTAATTGTCCCATTAACGGAATCTTATATAAGTTGAGTTCTTTTTCCTTCCCGTTTAATGTGTTTCCTGAAATTTAGAAAAAATCGACCACCGAAATCAGAGAACTTTGCCCCTCTTGGAGAAATGTCCATAAATATCATACAAATAAAATATATCCGATAATGTTCAATTCCAATGATTTTGGTTCTCCAAATGATCAACTTAATGTTGTTAGGGCTTTCAATGTCGCTACATTTTTCCGAAAGTAGGTTTCCATATAAATAGGCATTTAGGCACTCGAAATACTTATTACATTTTAATTAACTTCTTTATTAACTCAAATTATAAAATCACAAATGCATGAAAGGTTTTGATATTTATAGTGATTACGAAAGACATAAATAGCGTTAATGTAGTTAGGAATTTAGGGAGGACTTTTACTATAGGTCTTGTATCTCCATACATTATACTAAGCTCAAACCTACAGTGTTGTCATGTCCACGTAAACAGATTAAAAAACGACTGTTGGTTTAGTAAATTTTTTAATATTGTTTATTTAAGTGATTTAAGTCTCAAAAATTTCGATATTCCTAAGACTGAAAACAGCAGTCTTGAGTCTCGAAAATGTCAAAATATTTTGTAGAGATTCCTAGTCACTAATAGGTATAACTAAATTATTCTCAAGGAACTTCGCCACGGTAGTTGGTTGTTCCAATTGGAGTTAAGAGCCATTAGAGTCTGGAAGAAGCTTGCCATATAGTACACTTACTCTAAGTCGAATTAACAGGAAACAGGAAGCTTTATAAAAAATAGATAACATTGTACTTACAGGTAGTAACGTAAAACCGTTAACAGTATAACAGTACGTATGGTACATACATCTACGTAGCATTTTAACTGTATTTGAGAATTTATTTTTATTATGAAAATAAACATATCGTTATTGAAATCATTCATTTTAATTTGTCAATAAACGCACATACGTAATCCCCGACTATAATCTGCGGTGGAATTTGCGATCAAAGGTACACACGGCTGCCATACAAAACAAAAAAAGATTTTAAGTATTTAAATTCGTCGTGTTTTTGTTTTACCATTATGATGATTAAACCTTCAAGTAATCATTACCTTTCTCCGTTACAGAAATATTCAAGTTGTTTCAGACACAAAAAAACGACATATCCTCTTGAGAACGGGAATTGCTGCTATTGATTCTCGGATTATCATTCACATCGACTGCGGCCGACGTTTGCAGTTGAAATCACGACTGTATGCATTAACTGCACACATGCAGTCCATCTGTTAACAGCTTTAGAGCGGTAAGCGAGACAGAACACGAACGTCGCTAGGGTTGTGACGCTGCGCAGGAGTGTTTCGTCGCACCGTCGCGCCGCTATTTGGATGCAATGCCTGTGTGGGGTAAAAGGTATATATACAACGGGTCGCAACGATGAATCGACACAATCTCATGCATAACAAAATCATAACAGCGCACCACGTCTGTGTGATCCACCTTAGCTGAATGTAGAATTAAAAGTAATACTGGCTTATTTAATTAATTAATCATGCGAATATTGCATATAATTAGCATTTCGTAAGTTAAGTTCTTCAGTGATGACTGCGAGCTAAAATATAACACAGGCGAAAACGTTTATTTGTCCGAATACGGTAACAAATTACAATGGCATATAAAACGCGACCACAGTCGTGGTGATGATGATGACACATTATAAATATATGGTATATATATATATAGTGTGACGTAATGGACCGGTGACCGCAACTCGATGTCTCAATGCTTATCTTCCGTGTGTATGAAACATATAATACATAATTATATAGATATATTTACGCTCACGGACTATTCGTTGGGTTGGCACTCCGATTGGTTTAGGGTTTCCAATTAAACTGCACTCCTAGTTGGATTGGTGAGGTATTTGTAGCAAGCAATGAAACGACAGTTACGATACACGGTCCGTTTATTACTGACTGACAAAGTCAAATGCAGAGCGTTACATACATTACACTCCTCCAGCGTTATTTTGAAACCCTGGAGACAAATACACGTTATTAGTAACAATTACAAAAACCACTTATAATCTATGTTCTTAATTACATAATTAATTACTTACATAAGTAATTACAGGGCCACCCCTGAGCCATGTACTTGAACACCGTTTGCAAGGTTTTATCATTTTCGGTTGCCTTTTTTTCAAATCATCGAACGCTATTGCCGAGGCGTGTTCTTGCTCCGTTAGCCCGTTCCCGCGATCCCCGCGGTGAGTTATCGCTTGTCGTCGCGCGCGAGAAATAATCTGCTATTGTATTTTTTTCACTAGGTATTCGATTGAATAGTTGTAAGCTGACAAAATTATAATAATAATAAATAATAATAATATATATAATAAATTATAGCATATCTTTGAAGGCGGAACACTGACATTACTGATATACCATTTTTATTACCGAAGACAGATAGTAACGGCCTGTGGCAATATAAATGGTACCTGCAGACCGTACAAATAGGCCACGCTGAGCACGAGCTGCACCCCGGACTCGTAGTGCGCCGGTACGCGCTCCGAGGTCAGCTCGCGCTTCACGCTCTCGATTGCACGCTCATGCCGTCATGCTCGTAATAATTCATGCAATGGGCTTAACTGCGACGATGAATTAGGGACAAAATTACGATAATAATTAACTACACCCAGGAATCTCTTTACTTCAGTAATATTTGTAGGACGGGGCGCCTTAACTATTGCCTTTTTATATTTTTTATTTTTATATTATTGCCTATTATTAACTTTTTTTTTGCAAGGCCGCAGTCCATTTTTGTCAATTACGTAACCCAAATAAGTTACATCGCTTTTAAAGAAAACGCATTTTTCTTTTTGAAGTTTAAGACCAGCGTTTTTTAGTCTCAATAATACTTCGCGAAGCCTGACTAGGTGAATCTGCTTCGTCGGTCCGGTTATGCAAACGTCGTCGAGGCAACAGCTGACACCGTCAATACCTATTAACAATGATTCCATTGCCATTGCGGGTTGGAAAACGCGCAGGCGCGTTAACTAATCCGTAAACTAACCTTATAATAAATAAACCCTTTGTAGTAGTGCTTATTGTAGTTAGTTTTTGCGACTCAGGCGATAAAACAAACTGATTATAGGCATTACTTAAGTCAATTTTTGAACAATGTAGCCCATTTTCTAAACTAGCTAGTACTTCCTCTATACGTGGCGTTGGGCATTTATCTATGTGCAAATCTTTATTGAGCGTTATGGAATAATCTCCAGCTATTTTTACTTTGCCCTTCTTTTTATTATCTTTCAGCACAGGAACAATTGGAGTTGCATATCTAGAAAAGTTAACAGGTACGAGTATTCCTAGACCTGCAAGCCTATCTATTTCATCTTCTACTCGACTTTTTAACGCGAAAGGAACTGAACGCGGCTTAAAAAACTTAGGCTCCACACCCTCTTTCAATTTTAATTCCACATCGAATTTATTAAATTTTCCTAATTCGTCACTAAATAAGTCAGAGTATTCGTGCATTATCCGTAACACTTCACTTGAACACTGGTTAACTGGTGGTTGTTATTTATAGGTGTCAGACCAAACTTAAATTTTGTCATAAACCTAACCTAACCTAATCTAATCTAACGAAGGTGGGCCGCCATTTACTACAACATATATTTTAATCTGGTGGCGGTTATTTTGATATTTCACATCAGTTTCAAAATATTTAGGAGATATTTTATGGCCGTTATAAAGGTGGAATTTTAAATTACATTTTCTTAAGTTACATTCAGAAAAGTACGGCTTATACAATTTTTTTGTAATAACTGTTGTTCCTGAACCAGAATCAAGTTCCATTTGTAATTGAACATTATTTATCTCTACCCATAATAAAACTGGTGCATATTGGACGTACCTTAAATTAAAAAGTTCACAGTCCTTGCAGTTCTTGCACTTGTTTCCATCTAAAAACTCTGATTTCACTTCTAGATTATGCAAACGAGACTTGACCGTCACTTTTTTGCTACACACTTTTTTTAAATGACCCTTTACACCACACGTTTGGCAACGGTAATTCTTATACCAACATTTTTCCGTGTCATTGTTCTTCATGCCGCACACAGATCACTGGCCCTCTGGGCGTTCGCGGACGTTGCCGCCGGCGGGCCGTGGCCCGCACACCCGATACACTGGTTTCTCCTAGACGTGCGCTGGCATCGAACTCGTGGCCGCCGCCCGGGCCTCGCGCGCACACGCCGCCTGCTGAGATATCTCCACTGCCTTCGCGAATTTGAGCACGGCTGCATCTTGCTCGAATAGACGGTCACGCTCAGGTCCTACGTTCATGCCCAGTACGAATTTATTCGTCGAAAACAAGTCCAGTGCATTGTCAAAATCGCAGTACACTGCGAGTCCTCTGACGCGTACTACCCATTCCTCAATGCTCTCTCCCGTCGCTCTTCTCGCCTCGAAGAATCTCTCCCTGTCGGCCAACGTGCACCTCTTCGGTCAGAAATGCTTATTAAATTCCCCGACTAAATCTACGTACTTGAACTCCTCTAATTTCTTTGGATGTACGAGATTTTTCGCCAATTGACAGGATTCATCAGGATGCATGACTAACAACGGACACTTCCTATCATCAGGAACACTGTTTAGTTTTATAAATTGCTCCAATCTTCCATACAAAATTTGCCAATCCTGCGTAGTATGATCAAAAATATTCATATTTCCGATAAAACTCGACATATTAACAGTTTTTCTAATAGCGCGGGTAGATTCAGATCGTCGCCAGTAAGGTATTTGTAGCAAGCAATGAAACGACAGTTATGATGCACGGTCTGTTTATTACTGTTACATACATTACAATTGGGTTTGTGCCTGGCTGACTTACAAGAATGGTGCAACAAGTAAACGTGATTATGAGTATCGGAGTTGTTTATTATAATTGTATACACAGTTTATCCTTATTTATATTTACAATGTTCGTGACCAGGGAATACTTACTATGAAGTATTATCTTGTCTTTTTTTCATGGCGTTACGGCGTATTGGTGTTTCAGGCGAAGAGCGAATTGTACTCCGAACTGAGCTTCCACCTTGCTTATACCGAATTATGCAGTGATGTGGATCGGAACTGAGACCATGGATAGTGTTTACACAGTGTGTGATCAGAACTGCAGCGTGCTAAGCAAGAGGTGACTTTCCACTTAAGCTTATACGGCTGTTATGTGGCTCGGAACTGAGACCTCGGGGAGCTCAGCGTATTGAGGCAAGTGTTTGCTGGATGTCAAGTCTCAACTGCGTGCTGTCCTGTGACCTGCTTCCAACGGTCATCCTCGAGTTGCTCTTGGCGCGTAAAATTAGCTCGCGGCCAAATGTTCATTATGAAAAACTAAGTGTGACTCGATGCAAGCGGCGTCGCATCTCAGCGGGTGTGCAACTGTCTTCATTTGGCGCACGAAATTAGCGTGCTATTGAGTTTTCCCAATAATCTCCTTACACACCATATACGCTGGCGTCTTCGGCGCGAAAACGTATCGGAGGCGATCTTTGAACATAGTCCAACTTATCACTTCGTTCTTTATTCCTTCCCACCATGTTGCCGCATCATTTTTCAGTAGTACGGTCAGTCTTTCCAGGGCATCGGTATCGTCTATCTTCTCCAACTTTTTGTAGGTTGATGTCGCCGAAATGAATGCTTCTACGGATCCATTGCCATCATAGGTAGCAGTGCACTGCGTAAACGATCATTTCTTGTTGGTTGAAGATAGGGCTGTGATGATCCTCAGACGTTGGCTCTTCGGTCATGTTTACGGCAATCGTTCTTGCAGTAACATATATAAAACAGAATATCCTAGTGGGATATTATTATAGTTGTGTAGTATACACCTAGTATACTTGTTTCATCGCTGATGACAAATATATTTTCTAGGATATTCACTCAACGTTAATTTTAAAAATGGAAAACGCAAAGCAGTTTGTTGCAATTGCAGGCATACACTGGAAAATATGTTTAGTAGCAGTCGAGCTCGTTGTGAAAGAGTTCGTCCAGGGAAATACTGCCACCTTACCCATTTCTGCCGCCAAGCAGTAATGTCAGTATTACTGCGTACCGGTTGAGATGCAGGGGTGCTGGTGAAATTACAGATACATGTGTCTTATCAACTCATGTCACAGGGTGAACGGCGCAGTGGCAGTGCCCCTCCGATCTTTGCGGTTTGAAACTCTTAGTGGCACTGCAACCGTTATGGACAGGCGTGTAGCTTACTATTACTGTGCATCCCGTCACTTGATATGATAAAAAAAATACAACATATTATAAAATAGAAGCTTTTGTATTTGTATGCAATAAAGTAGTTTCTAGTGCCATAACAGCGCGTACTGTACGAGACAGGCTTATAGTGAGCTTATAGTTTTGTCTGAATGTTTACCTAACATTTAAAAAATATAGACTCGGGTTCTTAGGTTTTCGCGATTGTTACATATAGGAAATGAAACTATTTTGACTGTTGACTTGTTGTTCAACACGGTTGTCAACCGTTTCCATGGGACCTGTAAAGGGCCCGAAACGTTGGTTGGTTTGAAAAAACAAATATACGCGATTTCAATCCGGAAAAATAGTTTCATTTCCTATATGTTCCATTTTCAGTTATTATTTTGCTTCAAAATCAGTCATTCAACAGTTGCTATTTCCTACACGTTGAAATAAAATAAAAAATATAAAAAAATTATAAATAAACTATTTATGCACAAACTCAACTTTCATTAATATAAAAATAACTACATGTATTATATTTCGGTTATAGTAGATATAATAGTGGAGTGACGATCTGAGGAAGATTGCTGGCAGGAAATGGATGCGTCAAGCCGAGAACAGGGCGAAATGGCGTGCATTAGGGGAGGCCTATGTCCAGCAGTGGACTGCAATAGGCTGATGATGATGATGAGATATAACCGAAATCGATTGAAAGTGTTTATTAAGTAGTTAATAAACACTTTCAATCTTTTATTGATCGTCATAAATAGAATAGAGAGAGAAGTTTCTTTCATCCGGAACTCCGGAATTCGAAAAAAAATTAATTAATATTTGGTGGTTTTAACCTCTGTGTCACTCCTTGTAGATATATATATACATGTACACCTTTTTACAAACATTGCTTCTTTCCAACCCATGAACATAAACCCTATTTTTAAAATTTAAACAAGTAAGGTGGGCAAATTCTCATAAAATCTTTCATGTAATCGCAGCGAGGGTCAGTTTGCCATCCTGGACATTCCTGTAAACAATTATTATATTACCTTAGCATAATATTAATTATAAACTGAAAATTTGGTTTTGGTCAAATCTTAAAAGCTTAAACTGCCAATAAGCAAAACGCCGAACCTAGGTTTTCTATTCGGCCTGTTTGTTTGCGTTTGCGTAGGGCGTCCAATAACGACTTAATCGCTGTACAGCACTAGAAAGGCCAGAATTTTGAATCTCTAGGTGTACAAGTGACATCATTGTATCCTCGGATTCGGATCTGATGCAGTCCATAAGCGACATACGAAGTCAGTCCGAGTTTTCTAGATCTGTATAATCTCGGATTTGGAAAATTTTTTTAAAAACACATTGCGAAAACGCCTCACAAATTTATAAATGGGAAGCACACCAAATATAGTAATAAAACTGCGTGCGTTACTAAGATGCACACCGTATGTCGCTTATCACACGAATGTTGCCAACTCTATTTCACAAATTACGTTATGCAATAATTATTAATACAACATCGAACACTCAGAAAAAAATCCTTTTTTTTCTGAGAGTTCGATTCGAAAGGAATTTTTTTCTGAGTATCGAAGATATGACGCAAGTACATAGAAAAATTCGTGAGGTCCGCTGGTTGGTTCGTTCCGTGGCTTAGTTGGTATAGCGTCTGGCACGGTATGATAGTAGACGTCGGTTCGAATCCGGCCGGATCGAAGGAACTTTTTTCTGAGTGTTCGATCTTTGTATTAATAATTACATATAACAAAGTACTGGAGTAATTTCACATAAAAGTAAATGAATATCAATTCAATAAAAATTTAAAATACATTATGTAAGTTTTTACGGTTGATTTTCAAAATATTCGTAATGCTGAAAAGTTTTTCTACATCAGTTGCGTTAGAATCGGAAAATACAAATAACAAAATTAATTATCCTGTTTGCTCGTATGGACCTCCAAATAACCAGTTTTAGTGAATTATTTAATAAGCCGGCCACGCCTGTAGCTTAAAAAAATGGCGATTGCCATGCGTTTTAAGTTTGTGTTTGTGTGCGTCTCGGTGTACCAACACAAGTGAAAAAAAAAGAAATATACAATACATTTTGTTCTTGGAAGGAAAAGGATACTAAATCTTTAATAAATTTGAGTATATAGGTGTGAAATGGTGTTTAGTCTGCTTCCCATCTATAAGTCTGTGAAACTCTTACATGACGGAGCTTAATATACTTACAAACAGCATTACTGAAAAGATGCAGGCAAATATTTTTTCCGGAGGACATGACTCCATACCGGTGAGTTGTTTTCCGACGCATGTCTTCTTCGCTGAAGCAATTGCTGATTTGAATGAAGGGTTCTTCTTCACATAATTGTCCATGAGGGTATTAAGCAACTCTGCGTCGACTTCGCCGTCACGTAGAACATTGTATTTTTTTGCTACGCATTTAAACTTTGGACACTGTAATAGGTAATAAATATATTTTTATGTAGCTAAAGACAGGGTACCGCAAATAAGTTAAATTATTGTAAAGTTTTTCAAAGTAACATTATTTACTTATCTAAGTACCATTATAACGGTATTCAATGTCATTTTAATCGTCACGCATTCTAGAGACACAAAATTTTGATACAAAAAATAAAAATTATTTATAAATTTTTTCATATTTTTTTAATCCATTAGAGACTGAGTTTCAAATGTTTACTGATTATTTTGGAATTTTGAAATCAGGCTAAATTTTGTTACTTTGTGTGTGTAAAAAATATGAAAAAAATATTGTTTTGTTGTTTTTGAGTTTTGACCTGTTGTCATATGGCGACGCTAGGCCAAAGTGGGTACAAAATATTTAATTCCAGTATAGGTTGGTCTACTACTTAGTCATTGTTTATAGTAACTGGCAGCCTAGGTCCATACAAACATTACATCCACACATTATATATAACTCTTAGCGGCAGTTGGGTAATAAATAAAAAGCATATAATGGCAGCAAAAAAATTGTATGTTTCAAGACATTTAGTACAAATTACTGTACTTATTGTTTTGCAACCCTCTCCCGCATCTTTTCTTCTCTATTTGTTTGAGGAAATGCTTTTCACCATCATATCGCACCCCCGGTAAAATTTTCCTCCAAAAAGGACGTCCTCCAATCTCTGGTGTAGTGCCATATTCTTCAGATAAGTTTTACCGAGTTCTTTATGAAAATCTAACTGTGATACATTTTTGCCAGACTTCTTCATCAAGATCCAGAAGTTATTTATGGGTACATCTATGAACCACGTGAACATCAGCCACGATCATTTTTTACCACGAATCCCAATTCTGTAATTGTTATACACCAGAGTATTCCGTATAATATATCATCAACACCCCGTACCAATACGATTTATTTACTAGATAATTTATTGTACCCTGATACTACTAAAATGGCTAGAAAATACTTAAGCTAATGACATATGATTTTAGAGTCAGGTAGGAAATTGGTTTTTCCAAGCATGATTAGAGATTTTGCGCACTTTTATTGGAAGGCCCGGAGGTATCCATCGGCTCCGGAGATGTAACTCGAACCTCGACTGCCGCGCGAAGGTGTCGACCTGATAGGGTTTCCACGTAGGTAGAGTCCTCGTCTTCACTCGCAGAATGTTGGTCGGTAAATTCTGCCACATCCGATAGTTCTATGTACACGTCTGGAATGTGGACATCTTCACTGTTTCAAGTTGATCGACTACTTCCGCCAAAGTCAAACTCAAACGGTAATCAGAGTAAAATTGTGAAAAAATATACTTCATACGGACTAGCGTTGCCAAATGGCAACGGTAATGAAACTGTAATAATGTATGTAATTTTTAACAATTCTGTTTTTATTTCTTACGCTTACTATATGACAAAGGTGATAAAAATAATATGTTCATAAATTATAACACTTTAACATATTAATAATAAAAGAAAATCTTACTTACATTTTTTGGTGTGCCATTTCTCCGACTTTTCCAACAAAGTTTAAAAAATTAAAGTCACATTATATTTTTTTTCATTCGTAAATGTGCTTGGATGCACATCAAAACGAAATAAATAATAAAAGTTGTTGTTTTATATAATTTACATTTTTTGAATACCGTGTTGCCATAATAAGGCAACGCTAGTGCATTGTGGTTGATGAAAACACAGATGCACGCTTGCTGGACGGCCGAACTGGATGACAGCGACTGGGCAGCGCGACTGTCGGTGCGGTGGTGCGGCAGCGATGCGGGTAGCGGCTCGAGCGACTTGATAAAAATCAGAATGTATAGGTTTGCATTGTGCTGTTCACGACTGCAGTGGGACCGGTGGCGGGACACGAGTGTCGCGCTCCAATCGCGCGGTGGGTGTTATACTGTTGTTTATCTACATTTATATTTCGACCAATCAAGTCGAGATGTCGTTGGAAGAAATAATTTCAGCAATTTTATAATGACACCCAATATGGAACAGCAAATATATCGTCCATAATAATATTTAAAAATATATTTAGTTCTTTTACTTGTCCCAAGGTTATTATATATAATTTATCTGCTGGAGATACTATTAAATCATAATTAAAGTCGGCTTTCAATTTTGGCCCGATATTTGCAAGAATATAGTCAAACGTCTCCACAGTTATTCTAGCGTAACTATAGAAATTATTCTGTCTTTGATCTTCGTAATTTCGGTGAAACTCGCCGTTTTGTTTTCCGTGTTTGTAGTGCGGGTTCACATCTTCTTTTGCCAATAATAATTAATATTTAATAACACTATTATAAAAAATGCCGTCGCAGTTTCGACATCGCTCGCACGCTCTCGTCGAGTCACTGCACCGCCGCAAATCGAGCGATCTGAACGCTGGCATTGAGAACAAGATAGTTTCACCGCGCCGCCGCCGTCGCCCGGATCTCTGCCGCCACCGACCAGTTTGCAGCCTCAGTGACAGAGCTGTGGCTCTAGAACGCTACAATACCAGAATCGTTAGGGACACCGTATGTCTCGAACGATTGTAAGTGAACATCCACATACAATCGTTACAATTAACCCGCTGGTTGCTTTGGGAGTCTTCAGAGTATTACCATAGGTCAATAAGACAAGTATGGTAACCCCATTCTACGCAGCAGCGTGCCTTATACTAACTAAGGTGCCCCCCTATCTTAGTATGATTTTTTTTGTTTTCCTGTCCCGCGCCCCTGTGTGGTGTGTTGGCGTCCATATAAACACAGGGAATTATATGTTTCCGACCGCCATGCTTCCGACCCGAGACACACCCGACCCGCAACCGCTCTCTGCGTGTGTTATGCTTTAATTTGAATACTCACATCTCTGCTAGTGACACGTTTTTTAAGAAGCACGCTGTCCGGTTCTGGGAAGCCACACTTATACATTTCCTTCAAGTTGAACATGGGTGGTATATCGCAGCAGTCTGGTGCGGGTTCCTGTAATCATTTCAGGTAGACAGTTAATAACTGGGCACATACAGAATGACCACAATTTCATGTAACAATAACCTTTTTCATCATTTAGTTATTACATAACACAATTTGTTAATTGTGTGTATTTGATTGCGCATATAAAAATGTCACTGTTTCGTGTGTGGTACTTGTTAAGTGCGCCTGTGACGCACACAATACTAGCTATAGCTATAGTGGGCTCCACATAATATTAGCGCCATGGTTGTTCTCAGCCACGGCATTGCTGAGTGGTGCCCTTCATTTCGTTCATTCATTCAGTGCTTTAATTTTAGTTTTAATTTATTTTTATTTTGTAAGTACATACAAATGAAAATGAATGGTACTGAATAAAATTTTCTTTTTTTCTTTCCTTTTTTAATCAATACACGCAAATATCTTATTGTTTACTTAAGAATAGGAATACAATTAAGGTGAAGTGAGACCAAAAATATACGTTTTGAAGTATTATATATTTAATAACGAATTTTCCGTGTGGTCGAGATAAAAATATGACTTCAAAGTTTTTTCAGTTTGTTCCATTCAAGTTTTTCTAATTGATAGTGAAAACAGATATAGCGGTAGCGAACTATGGGTCGGTAACACGGTTAACTAAATTTTCGAAAAAAATCACAAACTGTCGTCGTTTTTTAATATGTTTTTAGCCACTGGTCGAATGCTATACTGGCTAATCTTAAATCTAGATACTTAGCTGCAGGTGCGAAGCGGTGAGAATGAAAATCCATTTCACGTCAGTACATTTAATACACACACGACAGTAGTACATGAAAGCGAAGGAAGAACCGAGCACAAGCAGAAAGTACAGCACAGGAGAAGCACAGAAGTAAACAGATAACAACAATATAGTCCATGTAATAAGCACGATGCGGATCAGATCACCTTTGACGTCACGCACCCGAACAAAAACCTCATTCTAATAAGCGTGGTTCCATAAGAAAACGATACGATAAAATAAGCAGCTTATTTATTTATTGACGGACCGACACGGTGCATAAATGAATTTCAACAATAACGCTGACACTTATAGATAAATATATTATATTATGTTAGTAAGTGATGTATGTGAATAAGTATATAAGTAAATATATATGTATATATATAAGTATATATATATACATATATACTATATGTTAATATTATTTAAAGTATATGTTAATATTATTTAGATACGTTATATGTTGAGTTAGTGTTTTCTGTTAATCGACTTCAAAAAAGGAGGGGTTTTAAATTCAACTGTAAATAAATAAATAAATACTAACTGTATGTTTTTGTAACATGTTTTATTTGTATATGGGAGTAGCCCATACGTTTACCTATGGAAAAATCAGTTTCATTCAATTGTTATTAGATATGTTTCTAGACACATATTGTAATTTGGTAATGAATTGGAGATTTTAAAGTTTTAACAAAGCTTTATATGAAGATATACAGACGCAGGAGAACTATCCGTGTCATATATAGACTCTAATCTTCACCTAAGCTACGACGACTCTATGATTAACAGACGCACTGGCTTCTTAAAAAAATTTAGCATGAAAATAAATTTTAAAAATATTTAGGAGATGATGTGCTCTATAATTCCTGAAGAAACTTATCAAAAACATGACCAATCAATTACGGATGAAAACTTCTTGTTCGTTAACGATATTTATATCCTTCATCAATATATTGCCGGATTAATCAATAAAACAGATGAATTGACAATATGTTTATACGAGTTTTCACAAAAAGGTAGATATATAGTTGTGATGTGTGTGACAGAACACTATCAAAATGGGTCATGAAGTTTTATTAAATGTCCCTAATTATTATAACGCAACGTACTATTACAGGAAAGAGCAAATCAGAGGAGGTTCTTGTATATTGGTACGAAAAGGTTTTGATATAAAGAATTGTGTGAAGTGAAGAAAGTAAGTGTGACGAGTGTTTTGGAGTGTTGTGCGATTGAGCTGATGGAGTATCATGTTGTATGTATTTATAGAGTGCCATATGGAAGTAGTATCCACATATTCTTTGCACAATTATATAAATTTTTTTACTCCAATTTAAAAATCTAACCCGCCTTTTAGTTCCAGCGAGTACCTTTGAGCGCCAGCGAGTGCCTTTGAGTGCCAGCGAGTGCCTTTGAGTACCAGCGAGTGCCTTGGAGTGCATGTGAGTGCTTTTGAGTGTCTTTGAGTGGAATCCACTCAATAGTATTAGTCTCCCAAAACCAAAATCGAATGTGTATTTAGATCGAGTAATAGAACAATTCTGTATGGCATTCCGCAAGGCAGCATTTTGGGCCCACTCCTATTCACTCTATACATAAATGATCTGCCTAATACTGAACCGAATCATCACGTTTCTCTCTTTATAGACGACAGTACAAATTAAGTGCAAAAACAAAATTTCATATGAACAAGAGATCAATGAAGAAGTAGAGTCTGTAATATTTTGGTTAAAAGGAAATACCTCAACATCAATTTAAAAAAAAAATACTAACATGATGCATTACAGTCAGATACAGAATAATAATAACGTCAATGTTAGTCATGAAAACATAAGTATAGGCTAACTAACCGAGACTAGATTTTTAGGTGTAATTGTAGATAATAAGTGACATGGAAAGCACATATTCAAAACTTATGTAAAAAACTAAGCATTTATTCTTATGCCTTATACAGATTGTCTCATATAATTGACTCTAACTCATTATTGCCTGCTTATTATGGTATAGTAGCTTTGCACTTAAGTTATGGGGTATTTTTTGGGGTAACTCTACAGATGGAGATTTAGTATTCAAAGCACAGAAAAAGTGTATAAGAGCTATATTTAGCTAAGTTTTTCTCGCATGGACAGCTGCTTGCCCTGTTTTAGAAAATAAAATATACTAACGTTACCATCATTGTATATTCTAGAATCAATATTATTTGTCTAAATAAACCCCAATCTATTCAATAAAGTTACGGAAGTAAGACGTAGAAATAGAAGAGATAATGATGAAGTATCTATGCTGCCACATAAAACTTAAGAACAATAACGTAGTAGCAAACCGCATTAATGTCAAAAGTGTTCTCTGTATGCTGCCAAGATTATGTAATAGAATCCAGAAATCCATGCGAAAATTGCATTAGATCTTTTCAAGAAAAAATGTAAGTAGTATTTAAATGATAAATGTTTTTATAATGTAAATGATTATGTCTATTATAATTTGAAATAGTGTCTACTAATGTGTATTTGACTAATTTTAACATAAGTTATTTTTGTATTTAAAATAATTTTTGACATGAGTATTATTTTTTATAGAGGTGTGGAAATGTAGATTGTGTAAGTTTGACATTCATGTGCTTATTTTGGCTTTATTTTTGACATTGCTCATTTTTACTGTATTTATCTCTATATGTTTACTCCTACAATTTTTTTGAGTGTTTTAATAATAATACTTTGAACACTATGCGACCACCACTAATCATATTTGTATGTTTTTATGAAACTGGTTGTAGTAGCACTGTAATGTATTGTTTAAGACCTAATTGAAAATAATTTATTATACCTACTTCCACAAATAAATCTATCTTTATTTTTATCTTTACCAATTCGTCTTAAGAAATAAGGACCTAAAGTCTATTTTTTGGAATTTAGATGTTATTGTAAACATTTCTTTAGAATGGAATAGTAATAGACATTACGTCCTGTCGACGTTTGTTTTTTTATTTAACTAGCTATTATTTAATTAATTTAATTTATTTGGCACTTAAGGTTCTTCACCTCTCGCCTACAGATATTAATTACTTTTCTGTTTCCGTAATGGAAGACATTAACATCATTCATATCTTTACTATCAACTATAGATAGAGCAGATGATACCACTGGACGGGCGAAACCAGAAATATGGTAAGCGGGATAGATGCATCGTCTATGTTTCGTTAATCAATTCTACTTCATTATTTTGACTATCAAATCCTATCAAATCTAATGAAGTCATATGTCAGAGTAGTAAAATGACCGACATAGCTCGCAAAATTCATAAGCATAAGTGGCAGTGTGCCGAACATGTCTACAGGAGGGCGGATGGTCGCCGGAGCAGGCTTTTTCTAAAGTGACGACCACGTCAAGGAAAAGCTAGAGTAAGACACCCTGCGGCAAGATGAACGAACGACCTGAGAAAGCGGGACATTACCCGGAGAGTAGGCGTGCTCTAGTGGAGGCTTATGTCCAGCAGTGCGTACATGTAAACTGATGATAATAATGAATTTGGCTAAGCAGTGGCTTGGAGATGTCAAAACCACTAAATGAGGTGAGATAATTACCATGATAGTGTAATGGTGAGTCTTAAAATTTTACTCAAAGCTCATTCATTACCTTATAGTCAAATTATTCTATTTTCCTATTCTTACTGTGTTTCTAATATTATGTGCTATTTTTTTATACCCCTATCCCTCTTTTCTTTCTTCTGTGGTTATATAACGTTTTATTTATTTTATTTTTATTCTATTATTTTTAAATGTATTAAAGTATTTTATTATTTTCAAAGTGTAAGTGCAATTTGTGCATAAAATTCGTGTTTATTATCATAATGTAATTGCTAATTATTATGTTTATATTGTAGCCCAGAGGTGGAGGTGTGGAAGAAATTGCTATCTAGCAATAAGGCCACCAGTTGTACCTGTTTTGTGTCTTTTGTTTACCTTCTTTACGTACTTACCAAATATGGTGGGTTACCTAAGCATAACTCGGGAATATTTGCTGGTGGTTGCGCGTGTATCACCTGAAAGTTTAATTTTGGAACAAAAATTAATCGACAATATATGTTATGTATGTTATATGTTATATCTATCTATTTATTCAATTAATTACATTGAAAACCAAACTAACTATCAATCAGCTTAAATATGGAAGTATAATATATTTATTTAGAGTTATATTTGTTTTAATTATAGTTTTGTATTTATTCAACAATATTGGGTTAACTATAGAATGTACAACCAACAGCATATCAAGCTGTACACTTTTGTTGGAATATTGTCTCCAGTGTAACGGGACAAGATCCATCAACGTGTAGCTTGATGTTCTACCGTCTGTACACTAAGCGATCCAATCGTATTTTGTAAAATCCGTAGGTGCATAGGTTAAGACTGCATATATTTTGAATTATGAACAATGAACACAATCTCACCTGTAAGACCGTAGCTAAGATAATAATACCACCCAAGTTACTCATGGTGTCAGAGCGAATTACGAACGAGAATGATGGGATGAGCGCGTGGTGAAAGTTTATATACTTGTGCGCGTAGACCGTCATCAAAGTATCACTAGCAATTAGATTAACTTCGGAAATGTGTATACTTTTATACTTGTAGGCAATAAAAGAATGGACACTTGGTATATTGAATGCCTGTTGATGTCTGTTCTCGCACGCACACACAATGCACATACTAACTTATAAAAGTACTCCCTAACCACATTTGTTTCAGAATTGCTCTACGAAGAGGTTGAAATTAGGAGTCATAAGATAGATGGCTCGCCTATTTTAGGCTCCTGTCTCTTACAAACATTAACATTTATTAATATTACTAATTCGAAATTAAAGGAGTAAGAACTCATTACGATATAATTATGTGAGAAAAATTCTCAGCCCGACACAAACCCTTGATAATCTAAGTTAATAATACCAATCTCAATAGAAAAATGACGTTCATTTAAACAATTCATTAAATGTATATATTGATATTATTGTGTAATAGGTACCTACCTCAAAAAAATTTTACTTGTAGGCATTGTAAAATGTTTCATGGGTAAAATTTTTAATCTATGACTATCATATGTGTTATGTAAAGAATCATAATTATCAAGATGGCAAATGTTTCTTTTCTCAACTTTTTTGTATATTAAACTGTTTTTTGTTGAACAAAGGTGGTATGCTCTAGTTTATGTTAAACCTTATTGCTATTCGGCTTCACCCACTGTTTTCCAAGAATGTTCTTTTTATAATATTCATATAACCTCCCGACTAAACAATAAGTTCTAACGTAAGTATTGACTTACATTGTTTTCCACTTTTTTATTTATCTTGCAAACTTGTTTTTTTCAGTCTTATTACACAAGATGGAGAACAAATTTTTTCCATCTAGCACGAGGGTAAGTGACTATCAAATTTTTAAAATTAAGTTGCGTATGTATGCACTGCGAAAAATATCTATTCCGAAATAAAATCCAATATTTAGTTTTACAGTGTATCGTGATTGCTTACAGTTATATGTATGTTATTATACAACGATTGGGGAAATACCTGGGGCGCACTATAAGTTTCCGGAATGAATTACGGAGTATGAACCAATTTTGAAAACATTTATGCCACTCCTCCGTGACAATGTCTGAAACATATTTTTCATACTCTTCGACAGCCTCTTCAGGTGATGAAAATCGTTGACCGCGTAACTGTTTCTTAATTTTTAGAAAGAAATAAAAGTCACAAGGTGGCAGCCAGGTCGGGACTGTGCGCGGGATGGCTCATAAAGTCAACGTTGTTCACTTTCAAAAATTCATTTGTCTGTCTGGCCGTTTGAGAACTGGCATTATCGTGGTGCAAGATGATATGGCGTTTATGATTATTTTTACGGAGTTTGTCAATAACTTCCGGCAAACAAATCGTCGTGTACCAATCACTATTCACGGTACAACGATTTGGGACAGCGTGGCCCAACGTGTATTGGGCCACGCTGGCCCAATACACGTTGGGGACTTCACACGTTTGCCGAGGGGGCGTGAACCTTCTTCGACGTGTAGGTTTAATCAGGATGTTTTCCTTTACCAAAAAATACAGAAGTGCGCGCCCAGATTCAAAACCACTACCACTACTTGAGAGGGGGTAAGTCAAAATACACACATCAAAAGTGTCTAGGGATCAAGTGAATATTTTTGAAATAAAAATTATTTAAGCAATATTTACCAAATCCAGTCTTCCAGGACGACTTCTTACTTTAATGCTTATGTTTTATTTAACCGCTTACCCCTATATTTAATTAAAATAAACTAAAATTGATGTTTTTGCAAATTGGGGGAAAAAACTTAAATTAACGGCGTCAATTAAATGACAAAAAAATGGCGAAAATGATGATTTTGCTCATTTTTATTGTAAAGATAAGAAAATTAATAATCTGTATTTCCACCATTAACACGAATCACACAATTACAGCGATTTGGCATGCTTAAGATGAGTTCATCAAAATCACTTTGAGGAATGGCCGCCCACGTGTTTTGTAACAAGTCAAAATATTGTTGTAGAGTATGTACGGTATGCATACTCGGCACAGCTCTTCTTTGAAGCATATCCCACGCGTGCTCAATTGGATTGAGGTCTGGCGATTGAGCAGGCCACGGCAGAACGTTGATACGAGCTTCGGCAAGAATGCGTGTTACGACTCTAGCCGTGTGTGGACGTGCATTGTCATGCATTAGTTGAAATGAATCACCCAACTGGCCTCGCAAAGGGATGATAACATCTGAAACAATCCTCTCTGCGTAAACTTGAGCATTGAGGTTACCCCTGATCCAAATGAGATCGGTTCTTCCGCCGATCCAAATACCGGCCCATATCATTATTGTTCCCCCACCATATGGATGAACGTCCTGACAATATCTCAAACGTTCATGACGTCCAGATGTTCTCCAAACTCGAGTACGTCTTGTATCCGGTCTCATACCGAAGCGGGATTCATCCGAAAAGCACACATAGCGCCAGTCTTCTTCCTCCCAGTTTCTGTGTTCGCGAGCCCATCGTAAACGGGTCCTGCGATTGCAGGGTGCAATAGGTGGAACTCTGAGCGGCCTTCGGGATCGCAGATCCACTTCACGTAAACGATTTCGGATTGTTTGATCGCTTATTAGCAAGCCTGAGGAGCTGTGGAGCCTCGTAACCAACATCATGGCGGTCATGGTACGATTCCGTCGAGCAGTATTTTGGATATACCGGTCCTGTCTGCGAGTCGTGATGCGAGATCGTCCTCCATGTCGCTCGGCCACGCTGCCCGTCATGCGATAGCGCGTCCAGAGGCGACTTATGACGCTCTGTGTAGTGTTAAGAGTGAAAGCCACAGCACGTTGCCTGGAACCAGCTTCCAACATTCCGACGGCTCGCATCATCACTTCTCGGGTTAAATGATGTCGTCTCTCCATAATAATGTAAATTGTTTCGGTTCCGATGCAGATATTGTAATGATTTTGTCAAAACGCTATAACTCATTTTTATACAAAACCACATTGACAATCGATTTTCTTCTTATTATCGAATTTTAAACAATATTCCTTATTTAAATGTTAAAACTCACTAAAAAGTATCATAGCGATACAAAAAAGTTAATATAATTAACCCTAATTGCAGCAATACTTTTAAACGTACTTGATCCGTAGACACTTTTGATGTGTGTATTACATGCGCGCGGCTCCCTATACATACTTCATTTCTTTTAGGTCTTTGCATAAGAGTATCTACAGCTAACCATGCAATACCACCTATTGTATTTTGTCATTAATCCTATGTATTTTTGTAACGTTTCTTATAGATATTTGTTATCTTGGTCTTAGTAAATAAACTAGGATTTTCAACAGTCAATTTAGTGGAATAATAAAACAATACGCAATTTATTTTACTTTATTATTTTTTTAGATCTGTAAAATCCCTTAATTTTAATAATTCAAGCACATTTCCATGCTTCATCAGGGCATTTCTGTAACATAAGAAAAAATATTTTTATTTAATTAATTGTTGTTTCTTTGTGGCGGGACGAACAAGTCGTGGGCCTGATGGCAAGCAACACGCTTCCCGTAACATTTGCTTTGCCGATCTAAAAGATCTGAGGGCACTGCCTCTACGCTCATCACACTGAGATATACGCGTGACAAGTCCCATGTACCTGTACTTTCATAAGCAACTTTAATCTTCAAAACCGGAACGCAATAATGCTCACATTACAGCTTGGCGGCAAAGATAAGTACGGAGGCAGTATTTCCCAGGACGTACTCTTTCACTAAGAACTCTACAGCTAATAAATTATTGCTGGCAAGCAGTAGTGTGAGCATTGAAGGGTACGGGTGCTGGTGAAATTACAGGCACATGGGACTCGTCAACTTATTACTCAGGGTGCCGGCCCAGTGGCAGTGCCCCTCAGATCTTTGTGATTTAAAGCTCTTGAGTGGTACTGCAATTGCTACGGACAGGCGTGTACCTTCAGGCACACGACTTGTTCGTCCCGTTACTTAATTATTGTAAAAAAAACTGCAACGTGACAGATACATTAACGAGGTTCTAGTGTGTATCCGTGAAACAGTGTTCACTCGCTAGTATGAGTACCTGGTTATCGTCGACTCACTGCCAATCGCACACGTTCCGTTCACCGCTCAGAGCGCGTTTCCATTACATCGTGACGACAGATAGTCGTGCAGTTTGAAGTGTCGCGTCTTGTATATTTAAATGAATTTGTTCAGCTATAGTATAACACGATTAACTGTTGTTCAATAAGGTGGCTGCCGTGAACCGATAAATTGTCGACTCGATCTAGTGTGAACAGCTAGACACGACAGTCGTTCAACGATAAAATAAACGTCCACGATACAGCCACGATGGATAATCGTGATATGGGAACAGACTACGCGCGACAGTCATCCAACGATAAATAAATCGTGACGACATAATGGAAACGCGCCCTCAGGCGTCGCAACGCATCGTGTGGCATCGATCTTTAGGCTGCTAAGAGATTGACTGCATGTTTGAAGGTAATGCGTGAAGTAGTTATCAACTTCATGCAGTCGAGGTCTCGGTTAACGACTGCACGCATTAAATGCATGTAGTCGAAACCGACTTCACGCAGCCGAGATCGATTGCGTG